GTTTGTCGACCAAATTATATTTTTGCTGTTTTTCTGCCATGTTTCCCCCTTTTTTATTTTTATATTTTCTCAACACAATTTATACTTTAATCTCAATTAGTATTAAGTTTTAGACTTTAGTGTTTTTCCTGCCCGAAACTCTTTGCGTAATAGTGGCTTTAGGCATTGTATGTACTAGCTCTATCTATAAATCCATCTATGTTTGTATCACCTCTTCTATGTATGTACTTTACCTGAATAAACATTTGAGTTTGAATTTTGAATTTGAATTTTTTGAATTAAATTACAATATTTCCTATTCCTCTTATTTTCTGTTCTTTGACTTCGCAAAAAAAAGGTCGTTGGCCTCAGCCGTCGAGGATCATTGGATGCAAGATTTGGAAGAATGGAAGAATAGAAGATGACATAGAGAAAGGGAGATAATGGAAGGCATTGAGGGAGACGACGACGGAAGACGACAAGCAGACAAACGAAATACAAACATGAAGGAAGCATTAGTTACCTTGGCTGTTAGGGAAATATTTGAAAAGGTTCCAGTCAAAAGCTCCCTTAAACAGTAAAGGTTCATATAGTTTTAATGGAAGGTAACTAAGATCACTAAAAATGTAATTTTCTGGTCGCAAATAGCCATTTACAATTAACATAAACGCATCAGAATGATTGATATTAGAAGTCTGGCGTCCCCCAAGGGGCAGTCTTGGGACCAACTCTGTTTTGTTTATTTACGTAAATGATATTGGAACCTGCACACTGGGTATCTTCAAGCGCACTCCTCAGACCTTCAACCCTACTGATGTCCTCACTGAGTATTTATGATTGATTGATTATGTCGTTATTGTGATGTCTTTGTGCATTCGAATATTTTAATGCTATAAACAATCAACATTTTTCGTTAACCTCAAACCAGCGAACGCAACGACGTCACTTGAGCGTCAGACGTTGCCACAACGACGTCACTCAAGCGGCAGACGTTGCCACAACGTCACTCGAGCGTCACAACGTCGTCACTCGAGCGTCAGACGTTGCTACAACGTTACTCGAGCGTCACAACGTCGTCATTCGAGCGTCAGACGTTGCCACAACGTTGCCACTCAAGCGTCGGACGTTGCCACAACCTAGTAAGTGACAGAGAAGTAAATTATGAAGAGAAAGTGCTACGTCAGTATGACTATACAGCACATGGAAGGGATATGAGGATAGGATAGGAGCTGGGATGGGAAAACGGAGTGAAGGAACGGTGGCCATCCCCTTGGACCACCGAGGCTCAAACACCTGACAAGAGGAGAGGTCATCGCCCCACCGACGAGTCCGGAAAGCAAGTGAGATTGTCGTCTGATAAATACAAAGCAATACATATATACAGACAAAACTCAAAATACAAGCTATTGATGAACACAAGAAAACTAACGAAAGTATCAAACAAAATAAATGAAAGCAAACAAGCAGCGTACAGAGGCAGTATATTAATAGCACAATTGGAAACTTCAATACACGAGAACGTTCGATTTTTTTATATGAAAACGTTATATTCTTCGTCAAGTTTGTTGGTGCTTTCTTTTGGAGGCAAATGTGGAGAATGTTGGTCGCCATACCAGACGCTACTGGCAGACAGGGAGACGAGCAGTGTCGCACACAGAGATCACACTAACGTGATGCATCAAATGAACAAATCCACAAGGGCCGTGACGAGGATTCGAACCTGCGTCTGGGAGCATCCCAGACACTGCCTTAATCGACTGAGCTACAACAGGGTAAAAGGGTTAAAACTGAAGTTCTACTGAACTTACTGGATCCCGTAGCCTCTCCGAGGCACAAACCAGGATTTTATACAACCCCCCCCCCTTGTACCCGAGCTATGTCGGGTGCAAGCCGTTCTCCCTCTTAGGCAGTGTCTGGGATGTTCCCAGACGCAGGTTCGAATCCTCGTCACGGCCCTTGTGGATTTGTTCATGAGCAGTGTGTGTAGAGGATAATGTCTTCCTTGACAAGGACAGTGAAACCCGTTTACAAGCGCTGAAGGCGTTCCGTGTTGAAAGGCGAGTAATCAGACATGACTTAACATATTGTAAAAAATACGTGACTATCTTCACTCACAACAATTATTTATAACTACCTAATTAGACATAAAGAACAATATTTTTTTTAATAGTTACCAAACGATTCAAATCCAATAGAGCGAAATATTTATAGTTTAATGTTACTGGGAGGAGTAATTATGAGAAATATTTTGTATTCTTCTAAAAATAGATTGGAGGTATATTTGTTTGGCCAATCTTGGCCTTGCACTGTTTACAACAGCTTTAATGTGCATCGAAGTGTCTGATGGTACTGGAGTTCCGATGAAGTCCTATAATTATTGCACACAATATGATGTCACAAAATGAGTCACAATAACTCACACAATAACTGCACACAATATGATGTCACACAAAATGAGTCACAATAACGTGGCTGAAGATATGATGACCAAACAAGAAGATGAGGAGACGACGACGTTTCGGTCCGTCCAGGACCATTATCGGGTCATCACACGTCTTTATAATGGTCCAGGACGGACCGAAACTTCGTCGTTTCTCCATCTTCTGACGTGTGGTTTAGTCATCCTATAATAGTTGTACGGAACGAGACAGAACGTGGAGGACAGGGGAGGGAGGGACGGGAAGGGAACTATCAAGAGAATGCACTAAGCCATTATGTCTATGTGACACCTGGAAGGAGTCAGGATAAGGAAATGTGATGGGACGGGGGAAAGGAATGGTGCCCACCCACATAGACAGTCGGGGATTGAACGGCGACCTGCATAAAGCGAGACTGTCGCTCTACCGTCCAGCCCAAGTGGTTACGCAGGTGAAAGAGGAAGATAACAGTAAAAACAGAAGACAAAGTGTTTCACAAACAGCTCCAGACAAGGCCAAGTTTTCCCCATCAAACACACGACGAACCTACGACGTCGCTACAACATTCAAACAAGTGTTAACACCCAACAAGTTGTAACAACGTTCTAATACGTCATAAAAACGTTATAACAAGATGCAACAACTTTATTACAAGTTGTAATAAGCAGGAAATAGGGACAGTTACGTTGTATTACTGTACTATGCTATGTATTCTCACAAACCCAATGTACCTTCTTGTATATAAAATAAATAAATAAATAAAATAAAAGTTTGTTTGCCGGGTCTTGACTTCGTATGTTCCCGTAACAGCTCACGTGAATTGAATTGAACTATCTGGGGAAAAGCGAAGTCAAAAGCTTACATGTCCCTTGGTAAGTTGTGATTCGAACCCACTTAACTGCTGTAGGAAGGTTGTGGTTCGTGTCAATAACGTTGTAGGAAGGTTGTGGTTCGTGTCAATAACGTTGTAGGAAGGTTGTGGTTCGTGTCAATAACGTTGTAGGAAGGTTGTGGTTCGTGTCAATAACGTTGTAGGAAGGTTGTGGTTCGTGTCACTAACGTTGTAGGAAGGTTATGGTTCGTGTCAATAAACGTTGTAGGAAGGTCATGGTTCAAGTCAATAAACGTTGTAGGAAGGTCATGGTTCGTGTCAATAAACGTTGTAGGAAGGTCATGGTTCAAGTCAATAAACGTTGTAGGAAGGTTGTGGTTCGTGTCAATAAACGTTGTAGGAAGGTTGTGGTTCGTGTCAATAAACGTTGTAGGAAGGTTGTGGTTCGTGTCAATAAACGTTGTAGGAAGGTTGTGGTTCGTGTCAATAAACGTTGTAGGAAGGTTGTGGTTCGTGTCAATAAACGTTGTAGGAAGGTTGTGGTTCGTGTCAATAAACGTTGTAGGAAGGTTGTGGTTCGTGTCAATAACGTTGTAGGAAGGTTGTGGTTCGTGTCAATAACATTGTAGGAAGGTTATGGTTCGTGTCAATAAACGTTGTAGGAAGGTTATGGTTCGTGTCAATAACGTTGTAGGAAGGTTATGGTTCGTGTCAATAAACGTTGTAGGAAGGTTATGTTTCGTGTCAATAAACGTTGTAGGAAGGTCATGGTTCAAGTCAATAAACGTTGTAGGAAGGTCATGGTTCGTGTCAATAAACGTTGTAGGAAGGTCATGGTTCAAGTCAATAAACGTTGTAGGAAGGTTGTGGTTCGTGTCAATAAACGTTGTAGGAAGGTTGTGGTTCGTGTCAATAAACGTTGTAGGAAGGTTGTGGTTCGTGTCAATAAACGTTGTAGGAAGGTTGTGGTTCGTGTCAATAAACGTTGTAGGAAGGTTGTGGTTCGTGTCAATAAACGTTGTAGGAAGGTTGTGGTTCGTGTCAATAAACGTTGTAGAAAGGTTCATGTCAAAATTCATAAATCGATGTTGCAATGATGTTAATTTCTTACTTCTGTTTGTCCTTTACATTTCCAGAAAGATCGATATAAATTTTTACTTCCTACAGTAAAAATCAAACTAAACATTAATTTCTATTTATGATTGGTTAATTTTAAATATTTTTTTTATATATCATCCTCGGTCAAGCTGTAATAAAAATAATAAGAATATGAAAGAATATAAATAAGAAGAATGTATATATCTTTGAGAAGTATATACAGTTATATTACCAAGTATTTTTCCTTAAATATTTAACTCAAAACAAAGATTTCATATATTCGTGATATCTTGAGTTGAGCTCACGGACCTTGCACAGTGACTTGACCACCAGTGATGACCAGGATTGTTGACCGAGGTCTCCTAAACTCAACACTCAGACAAAACTGTATATGTTTGCCTGGAGAGAGAGCAGCGGCTGGCTCAACACACTACAGCGCCCACAGTAGAAACCACATCAAGTAGGCTTCGAGTAGGCTATGGCAGAAAAGAGAACGAGGGTGGGGAAAGCTATAGGAGCAGGTGGGGGTGTGGTGGGGAAGGATGGGGGGGGTGTGAGGGAGGGGGAGAGAGAGGGCGAGGGAGGTGTGGGAGTGGGGAGGGGGGATGGATCTGAGTGTTGGAGGGAGGGAAGAGGGGGTGGGGAGGAGGTAGTGGTGAGGATTACAGGGGTATATAAGATCCTCAGCAGCGAGGTGCTGGCATAGTGCGGCTGTTGGTCTTCTTCTGCCACCATCATGACCGTCTCCGCCACTCTCCTGGTGTCCGCCATCATGGCTTTCTTGGTAAGTCTTACCCTCTCTTGCCTCCTGGACTCTTGTCCCCTCTCTTGCCTGCTGGATTCCTGCTAGGAGCCCTGACAGCTCAGTGGACAGCACTTCGGATTCGTAGTCCTGAGGTTCCGGGTTCGATCCCCAGTGGAGGCGGAAACAAATGGGCAGAGTTTCTTTCGCTCTGATGCACCTGTTCGCCTAGCAGTAAATAGGTACCTGGAAGTTAGACAGCTGCTTCCTGGGAAATGTGTAACAAAAATGAGGCCTGGTCGAGGACCGGGCCACGGGGACACTAAGCCCCGAAATCATCTCAAGATAACCTCCCCTCTTCTGTTGACTTCTGCTCTCTGCTGTTTGCCCTCTCTTGTAATGTCTTCTCTCGAATAGTACTGTTATTTTCTACCTTTTCTTATAGTGTCATCTGTTATTTATTTATTTATTTATTTACTTATTTATTTATTTATTTATTTATTTATTTATTTATTTATTTATTTATTTATTTATTTATTTATTTATTTATTTATTTATTTATTTATTTATTTACATACAAGAAGGTACATTAGGTTTGTGAGTATACATAGCGTGGTGTTTACAATCTTGTAAAGCCACTAGTACGCGCAGCGTTTCGGGCAGGTTCTTTATCTAACAGATAATATTAAGTAGGTAAATTCTAGCAAATTTATCAAAGGATAACAGGAACATTGCAAGAAAAAAATGAGATGAGAGAGATTAGTAGGTATATTAAAACCCTTCGGTATTATTATCTTGTTATTATCTTGCATTTCTTATTATCTTGCATTTATGGTTATTATTAATGGACAATTTATGGATGATTATTATCTTGCATTTCTTTCTTTCGCTGTTTTCTCGTGTCTTGTCTTCAGGCAGAACGAGAAGAGTCTTCTCCTTTCCTTTTTACTTCTTCTGTTGAAGAAGAAAGAAAGAATAGTAAGAAAGACTTCTTACTTTCCCTATAGAAGAATCAGTATAGGGACCATAAACAATTTCACTATAAGCACAAGCAAGTAGTTAGGAAATGAAATTATCCTACAACAACAACAACAACAATCCTACATAGGTTATCCTACAACGTATGGAGTCAGCCTCCTCATATGTGAACAGTTGATCTCCCACGCTGGTGCTCCCATACCACTTGGTGTTCAACCACCATCTATGTTCCAGGTGCTGGTACCTCCCATGTTCCTTGGTGCTGGTACCTCCCATGTTCCTTGGTGCTGGTACCTCCCATGTTCCTGGTGCTGGTACCTCCCATGTTCCTTGGTGCTGGTACCTCCCATGTTCCTTGGTGCTGGTACCTCCCATGTTTCTTGGTACTGGTACCTCCCATGTCCCTTGGTGCTGGTACCTCCCATGTTCCTTGGTGCTGGTACCTCCCATGTCCCTTGGTGCTGGTACCTCCCATGTCCCTTGGTGCTGGTACCTCCCATGTTCCTTGGTGCTGGTACCTCCCATGTTCCTTGGTGCTGGTACCTCCCATGTCCCTTGGTGCTGGTACCTCCCATGTCCCTTGGTGCTGGTACCTCCCATGTCCCTTGGTGCTGGTACCTCCCACGTTCCTTGGTGCTGGTACCTCCCATGTTCCTTGGTGCTGGTACCTCCCATGTCCCGTGGTGCTGATACCTCCCATGTCCCGTGGTGCTGGTACCTCCCATGTCCCGTGGTGCTGGTACCTCCCATGTTCCTTGGTGCTGGTACCTCCCATGTTCCTTGGTGCTGGTACCTCCCATGTCCCTTGGTGCTGGTACCTCCAATGTTCCTTGATGCTGGTACCTCCCATGTTCCTTGGTGCTGGTACCTCCCATGTCCCTTGGTGCTGGTACCTCCCATGTTCCTTGGTGCTGGTACCTCCCATGTTCCTTGGTGCTGGTACCTCCCATGTCCCGTGGTGCTGGTACCTCCCATGTTTCTTGGTACTGGTACCTCCCATGTCCCGTGGTGCTGGTACCTCCCATGTCCCTTGGTGCTGGTACCTCCCATGTTCCTTGGTGCTGGTACCTCCCATGTCCCGTGGTGCTGGTACCTCCCATGTCCCTTGGTGCTGGTACCTCCAATGTTCCTTGATGCTGGTACCTCCCATGTCCCTTGGTGCTGGTACCTCCCATGTTTCTTGGTGCTGGTACCTCCCATGTTCCTTGGTGCTGGTACCTCCCATGTCCCGTGGTGCTGGTACCTCCCATGTTTCTTGGTACTGGTACCTCCCATGTCCCGTGGTGCTGGTACCTCCCATGTCCCTTGGTGCTGGTACCTCCCATGTTCCTTGGTGCTGGTACCTCCCATGTCCCGTGGTGCTGGTACCTCCCATGTCCCTTGGTGCTGGTACCTCCCATGTCCCATGGTGCTGGTACCTCCCATGTCCCTTGGTGCTGGTACCTCCCATGTCCCTTGGTGCTGGTACCTCCCATGTCCCTTGGTGCTGGTACCTCCCATGTTCCTTGGTGCTGGTACCTCCCATGTCCCGTGGTGCTGGTACCTCCCATGTTCCTTGGTGCTGGTACCTCCCATGTCCCGTGGTGCTGGTACCTCCCATGTTTCTTGGTACTGGTACCTCCCATGTCCCGTGGTGCTGGTACCTCCCATGTCCCTTGGTGCTGGTACCTCCCATGTTCCTTGGTGCTGGTACCTCCCATGTCCCGTGGTGCTGGTACCTCCCATGTCCCTTGGTGCTGGTACCTCCCATGTCCCATGGTGCTGGTACCTCCCATGTCCCTTGGTGCTGGTACCTCCAATGTTCCTTGATGCTGGTACCTCCCATGTCCCTTGGTGCTGGTACCTCCCATGTTCCTTGGTGCTGGTACCTCCCATGTTCCTTGGTGCTGGTACCTCCCATGTCCCGTGGTGCTGGTACCTCCCATGTTTCTTGGTACTGGTACCTCCCATGTCCCGTGGTGCTGGTACCTCCCATGTCCCTTGGTGCTGGTACCTCCCATGTCCCATGGTGCTGGTACCTCCCATGTCCCGTGGTGCTGGTACCTCCCATGTTTCTTGGTACTGGTACCTCCCATGTCCCGTGGTGCTGGTACTTCCCATGTTTCTTGGTACTGGTACCTCCCATGTCCCTTGGTACTGGTACCTCCCATGTCCCATGGTGCTGGTACCTCCCATGTCCCTTGGTGCTGGTACCTCCCATGTCCCTTGGTGCTGGTACCTCCCATGTCCCTTGGTGCTGGTACCTCCCATGTTCCTTGGTGCTGGTACCTCCCATGTTCCTTGGTGCTGGTACCTCCCATGTCCCCTGGTTTTCACTGTATTTATACAGTATCTGAGAGATGTATTTTTACACTGTATGAGAGATTATTTATAATTTAATATATTCACTGTTACAGGTGTCTGCGGTGACGTCACAGGAACAGGACAAGTTGTCAATCAGGTTAGTCAACTCTCTATCATGTTAGTCAATCCTCCATCATGTTAGTTAATCCTCCATTATATTAATCAGTCCTCCGTCACGTTAATGAATCCCTCCATCATATAATCGATCCTCAATTTTAATCATTTCTCCATCGTGTTAGTCAATCCTCCGTTTTAGTTAATCATTTTTTTTATCAGATAATCAATTCTCCATCATGTTATTCAATCTCCCATCAGATAATCAACCCTCTATCAGATAGTCTATCCTACACCAGATAGTCATCCTCCATCTAATTGTTAAGTTTTCAGTATAGTCAGTCCTCCATCATGTTAATCAATCCTTCAATGATGGTAATCAATTCTCCATTAGATGGTTAATTATCTATCAAATAGTCAATCATCCATCAAATAGTAAATCATCAAATCGGAACATCAATTCTTGTTGAGGCTACGCAGTCATTCATCAAACAGTCAATCATCCATCAAATAATCAATCATCCATCAGAAAATCACTCCACTTTCAGGCAAGTCATTCCTCCATCAGGAGAACCGGTCCTCCGTGCTTCCTCCCCCACAAACAGCGCGTCCATAACCCCACAAAAGCCTCGACTGGAGCGCACCCATTATCATCACAGCCCCTAAACTTCGCTGTTTTGTATCAGACTATAACCTCTCCTCAACATAAGATAATAGTATCACCTAATTTGTAAAAGACGCTGTATTAAGGGATAACTTTTGTTTTAAAGGGTTAACTTTTGTAAAGGGGCAAAGAGGTGCCTGCAGCGTAGCCTATTACAATCTGGAGTCGTTGGGAAATTGTTCCCATTTCTTTGGCTGTCATAATATTTTTAATTATTAGTATTAAGGGGTAATTTTAACCTTTATGCACGTATTTGTTATATAGCTGGGAGTCACGCAAGTGTATCAGGTATAATTAGTTTACCTGCAGTAACTCAATCCCACATTGTTAGCTGATCTTTTGGACTTCTACTATGTAAATATCTGAAGAATCAATAAGAGGCTATACTGAACCTTACTTAAGGTACATCACATCTTTAGAGCTGAAAGGCGTCAAACTGATCTTCTTTAAAATGTCACTAAAATAATACAATTATAATAATTTCTTAAAATATGATAAATAAGAATATTTCTTCAGTATAATTTTTTTATGTAATATGTATTGATGAGAAGTATAGTGGGGTTGTATGGATAAATATGACGTGTTCCGTTGTGTGAAGCGAGCCACGGGCGTGAGCCAGGGTGTGGTCACTACACTGTGTTCAAACATTGTTGTTGGTATATGTAATTACCAATATTAATTGCTGTCAACCGGTAATATTGGCAGATCACTTTGACGTCAAATTATAAATAATAATAATGCATCAATTACTACAGGTGTAAAAGTGTACAATTATACAGGCGAAACAAATGGTTGACAAGACCCGACTAACGCACTCCCCCCCCCCCCCCCCCCCAGCATGCGCTGTATGTCGCTGGGTCGGTTCCCGCACCCCAGAGACTGCGGAGGGTTCGTCGACTGTCTACCTGACGGCGAGGGGGGCCTGAGGGCTCGTGAGGGCTCCTGCAGGGGACGTGCCTTCCACCCCACACTCAAGAAGTGCGTCAGCTTGCAGAAGGTGAGTGTGGCTCAGTGTACTGTCTTGCAGATTGTTGAGGAGTTGGGGGATTCAGTTCTCATAATATTAATGATGTTTCGGACTTTGCAAAGCTTTAGTGGAGTGCAAGGGGGGGATCATGTTGGAGATCACTGAAGCTGAGAGTTTCAGCTTGCAGAAGCTGCATATATTAAGATTAAAGGCTGTAGGTGATTGTGTACTTAAGAGTGAATCATTGCTGCTCCGTTCACAGGTGGATGGATGCCAGCCCCGCGCGGCTAGAGCTCTGACCTCTGACCCCAAGTTAGACTACGTGTGTGAGGGCGCCAGCAGCGAGTTCGTGTGTGCCGACTGCAAAACACTGGTCAACTGCGTTAACGGCACGGCGTACCCGGAGCCTTGTGCCTCGGGCTACCTGTGTGCCACCAAGGAACATAAATTTGGAGGTGGCGTGTGTTACCCTGACGAGCCTATAGGGTGTGCCTGCGAACAACCCAATCAGTTCAAGGTTGATGTATACGATGAAACTCACTTCTTGTTCTGCGAGGCCAAAGATGCGGACCCACAAATCTACCAGTGTCCTGATGACCATATCTTCGACCCCACCATGAGCCAGTGCACAAATAACAATGGGTTGCCGGAGTGTACCGCCATCGGAGTCTTCGCCAACGTCAACAACTGCTCCCAGTATTATAACTGCATTCCTACCATTGACGGTTGGGTACAGAAGCCTTTCTCTTGTAACAACGAATCTCACTTGGGACTTATGTATAACGAAGCTAGTGGCCAATGCGAGGACCCGTGCGATTGGAACAAGGGTAGTTTCAAATGTGAAAACGAAGGTCGCTTCCCCGACCCTCTCAACTGCCAACGTTACTACGATTGCGTGGCCGACTCAGCTCAGCCGTCAGGTTTCCGTCAGTCTCTGCACGAGTGCCCAGAAGGCTACGAGTGGGACCCTAGTGCAAGGAGTCAATTCGGCCACTGTGTGGAGGAGGGTAACAGCTTGGCTAAGTGTGTTCCCGTCACCGCTAACAAGTGCGTTGTCCCTGACGGCCTGTGCAACCCGGAGCCGGTCACGATCCAGCCTGAACAGCCAGAACAGTCTTCACAGCCTCCACAGCCTACACTGTCTGCACAGGCTGCGTAGTGACCCATACAGACTGACGTAAGTTACAACCCTCTCCCCATTTTAATAAGTACTAAACTGTATTTAAGGCATTAGGACAAAAAATAATAAGTACGATAGTAAATAATTATACAGTTCGTAAACCTCTCTTTCCCCTTCCCCTCAAAAAAATTCCATTGTTATTATCATCTTCCCAACATATTAATATGTACAATACCGTGCTTGAAGAAAACTAACTTCCACGGAGCAGCTATGGTTTGGTAAGGTTTGGCCTACTTGGTTAGGCTAGCTTAGGCAGTCAAAGTGCTAGGAAAGTGGAGGCTTCTTTTAGTCATTTTTTCCAAAAAAATATGTATAATTATGTATTAATGTATTTAGTATAACTTTCTACAAAAGCCTTGAATAGTTTTGTATTTATTAGAATGAGGTGAGATTGTTCATGACCCCGAGAGTCCACCGACCAACACAGTTTGTCTTTGTTATGTAGTATTAGTGACGTTAATTTATTCTTTGTTGACTGTAATCAAATAAATTCATGATAAGTAAATGATTTTTATTCACTCTGAGAGCTTTTTAGTGTGTGTGTACCGTCTCCCGGCGTACTGTTTCTCTAGACTGAGATCGAGACTTGGTACCAGACTGGTGTCCAGACTGGGTTCCAAGCCAGGTTCCAAATCAAACCAAACCAAGGTTGAGACTGGGTTCTGGATTGGGTTGGAAACTGGGCTTGAGACTTAGTTCAAGACTGGGCTCGATATAGGTTTCCAATCTGGGTTCAAGACTGGGATTCAGATTGGGTTTGAAACCAGCCATGAGATACCAGCCCGTCCTCCAAACAAAGACGCAAAAGTGATTCCATGCACCCGTCAAACCCCCTGTTTATGAATGAAAACCGGTTTACACACGACTCACAACTGATTTCGTTTGAACACTTCCGGAACAAGTGCTTCACTGACAAATTTTGTTCGAACCCCAACGCTATAAATGCTTCACCCACGTACTACAAATTCAAATAATCGCCAACAGAACCTAAACACCTAACCTAACCTAACTTAACATGTGGCTATATATGCACAATATGCTAATATATTATAATATCAATTTAAATTTGAGAAAATTCCCGTTTTAAATGAACAGCATGTTAAAATTTATGAATCCGTATGTGGGGGCGACCGCTATCTCGTTTTCTGTTTTGGGTCCTCTGGTAGGGTAGGATAGGGCACTTTAGTTGCCAGTTTCTTGACGGTTCCAAGGGGTTGTCATAGCCAAGGGGTGGTAATGGGAGACAAGCTCCCATGACCTATAAAATGCTCCTATACGGCATGCGTCTCAAATAGCCTCTGACAATCAAGTCCAACTCCTGGCCTGCATGGGTGGCTTAGTCTTTAAGTCCGACGGAACTGCTTTTACCGACAGGAGAAGGGGCGAGGGCGTGCCTCTGGCGCCTTAAAGCCAGCTGCTCCGGGTAGATGGGACTCGATAGCCTGGGAAGGCAGCTCATCTAGGGGAAGGAAAACCCTGATTTTAAACCTCCGCTGCCTTGCGGCCATACCCCTTTTTTGGGAAAGGCTTCAGGAGTCAACCTCGAGGAAAAATCCGGAGTTGGAGCTCCTAAGGCAGTTCGTTGTTGACGTCGATCTCGTTCTGGCAGCTCCTGCGACGTTGCTGGAACCATGTGTATTGGCATTTGCCTTTCTATTGGATAATTTCAGCAACGTAGAGAGGGGGGACCTGCTGCATGGGTAACAGCTTCTCCTCCATATCTACCTACCCAGGCTTTGCGCCTTGTCAGGGCGAAACTCCATAGTCTTAGAGTGAAAGACGCCTACTATTCTTGACGTTGAGAAAACTTAGGAGGATTAGCTGATGCATAAACCAACAATATACAGTAATATTTATTTAAATTTGGGAAGAAACTGTTTACCTGAGAGGCACTAAGACTAGTGGCCTCGACGAGGACAGGAAGCCGGCGGCTTGTCGAAGGTCCCCCCCATTTGCCTTGATCTTTTTCCAGTTGTACTTTAAAGGTTAACAGTGTTAACAGCATTTACGGCTTTGGCGGGTAGGCAGTTCCACGGGTTTATAACTGTTTGGGTGAAGAGCCTCCCCCGTTCTCGGTCCTTCATTGTGTCTTGTTGAGCTTGAACCCGTTGCTCCTTGTTTCTGTTTATTAGTATACCAAATGAAACGTTCATCCTGTCAGTTGTTGTCTTCTGTACAAAAATGCTGTCATCAAACGCCTCGTAAGTCAGTGAGGATAGTAATAACCTGGGTGAAGTTTAAACACCAACCCACACGTCTCAAGAAGAAAGAGCAGTATAGATGTTTCAGTTCGCATTATCAAGTCGCGTCAAGAAAATTTTATTGATTGATGATTGATGAAGATTAAGCCACCCACGAGGTGGCACGGGCATGAATAGCCCGTAAGAAGAACAATTGGTAGACCAATTCAGTATAAGGCAAGAATGTGAGATGAGACGAGAGAAGGTGAGAGGTATACCATAGGAATAAAGAAAACAGCAAAAGGGCCTAATACCGAAGAGAAAGAAGGGAAATAGAGATAAAAAGAGATAACAACATTCCTACCTAAATTTACCTGAGGGCCACAAACACTCTAGTGGCCTCGAGGAGGACAGGAAGCCGGCAGCTTGTCATAGGTCCACCCATTTATCCTGATGTTTTTTTCCACGTGGATTTTACAATTCAACAGAGTTTTAGCATACCTTATGTATATACTGACTTTGTCTATCATTCCTTCCTTCCTTGGTAATGGTCCAAGAAGGACCGAAACGGCTGACTAGACAGCGCTCAGGATTCGTAGTCCTGAGGTTCCGGGTTCGATCCCTGGTGGAGGCGGAAACAAATAGGCAGCGTTTCTTTCACCCTGATGCTTCTGTTCGCCTAGCAGTAAATAGGTACCTGGGAGTTAGACAGCTGTTACGGGCTGCTTCCTGGGGGGGGGGGGGGAACAAAAAGAAGGCCTGGTCGAGGACCGGTCCATCATTTTTATTACTAATGTTTATATTGTCAATCTGAAGCTGAATTGCATTTGTAGATTTGCTTCCAAAAAAGATGTAGTAGGTCTTTTCTATGTTAAGTGTTAGTTTGTTGGTTGACATCCATAAGTGGACTTTTTTAGTTCCTTATTAACAACATTATTTAGTGTATATGGGTTGGGGTTAGAGTAGATGAGGGTAGTATCATCAGCAAACAATATAGGTTTCAGAATGTTAGAGACATTAGGCAGATCATTGAGGTATATAAGAAATAGGAGAGGTCCCAAGATGCTGCCCTGTGGCACTCCAAAAGTTATTGGTAGAGTGGGAGAGGTTATATTATTGATGGCTACACATTGGTGTCTATCACTAAGATAGGATTGGATATAGTCCAGTGCATGGCCTCGGATTCCATAATGATGGAGTTTACGTAAGAGGTAATTGTGATTACCAGTATCAAAGGCCTTTCTCAGGTCAATGAAGAATCCAATCGGAAACTCATTTTTGTCAAGGGCTGAGTGTGGGAACCGACCTGTGAGATTTATATTTATTTAATTTATATGAATTTATATAGAATTTATATTTACGTTAATTTGTATACTTCGATAGCAATTGGTATGATGATAAGTGGACTGTATTTCTACAATAATCTCACAAATCGATCCTCTACACATTAGGGGGGTTTATATTAAATTTATATATATGCAGCCAATCAAACTACAGTATTAGACTACATACATTGAAGAGGTTCCTTATCTTATTTGTACAGCAGGCCTTAGTCCACCAGGTATAACTAGGATGTAGACACCAAATTATCCTCTTTGAGGTAGCTTCCATCACCCAGTAACTGGTACACAAAGCATGCTTCCTCGTCTTGACCTGTCAAAAGGGCGCTAGCTATGAAGCCAGAATCCTAATATATGACAGCTATATCAGAGAAAACACTGTACAAGGAACCATAAAGACCTAGGCTTAATTACCTTTAGTATGAGGCGATCTCGTGATCTAACCGGATCACCCTATCTAATGACATTAATGGCCACAAATGATAGATAAATGGGTTTCGGCAGAACACTTAACTTGTATTTGTTGACAGCGTGTTGATGATGGTACACCTTTGGTTTCCATAACACTTCGTCCAAGTAAAATTAACAGGAGCCGAATTGCTCCCGTGCCTCTGGTCTAAGTACAATAACAATGGCTGACCACTCCCTCACAACTGACGCTACTGGCCTACATTGTCCAGATGACAGTAAGTGATAGAAGGGTCACATTTACTCTATTTTAATTCTGATAATTAAGTTAATTTATATGAGATGTTTTTATGATGGTAAAGTCCAAAGACTAATGTATTTAAGAATAATTCCCACCATAATAGGTGGTGAATTTATAATAGTATGTGGTAATGATATCCCGTTTTCTATAGACGGAAATTCCACTACAAATTACATTTTCTATGGGTTAACTTGTTTATACAACACAGCAATATTATCTGCCTGTATGATATTATTAAATGGTGTCGGATTTTCCGACACTGAGTAATTTATATCAAGGAGACTAATAATTGCATCGTTGGTACTCTTTTGGTAGCGGAAGCCAAACTGACAGGGGTTAAGAATGCCGAATTTTACGAGGTAGGAGTAAAGCTGTTTGTAGATAACTTTTTTCAAATATTTTTGATAGTATGGGTAGGTTTGATATCGGTCTATAATTGTTTATGTCTGCCGAATTACCTCCTTTATGAACTGGTGTTACTCTTGCTTTTTTAAGGATATCAGGGAAGGTATGACACTCAAGGGATTTGTTGAACAGCAGAGCTATAGGTGGCGCAAGGGCGAGGGAGGCTCTCTTGTATACAATGGATGGGATTTCACTGATGTTCCCAGCTTTGGTTTTTAGTGAGTGTATGATGGACACAACATCTGTCGGGCTGACTGGTGAAAGGAGAAGAGAGTTTGGATAGCTGCCTGAGAGATCTGTGTTGATATGTGTCTGAGTCTGTGGGATTTTACTGGCAAGGTTAGCACCAACCAATAAAAAGAAGCTATTAAATTCATTCGCCATTTCTAAATCAGTTGACGGTGTAAGGCCATCCATAGAGAGTGTTATCTGGTTGTGGGAGTGTTGTTTAGTTCCTAGGATATTAGAGATGGTATTCCATGTGGTTTTCATGTTGCCTCTTGCTTCTTTGAATCTAGTCTCATAATATGAAAGTTTAGCTTTTCTTATGATACTGGTAAGCACTGATGAGTACCTTTTAACTACTTCCTTTGTAATAGGCCAATCCTAAATTTCTTTTCAAATTCATGTTTTTTTTTTGTTGATTGATTTGAGTATGCCACTTGTGAGCCACGGATTGTTTATTCTTTTGTCAGTTACTTGTTTGGCAAGGAGGGGACAGTGAGTGTTGTAGAGGCTTAGAGTTTTGGAGAGAAAGAGGTTAGTTAGTGAGTTTATATCCTGTGTATTATTGAATTCAGATTCCCAGTTAATATTGTGAAGTGCATTAGAGAGATTGCCTAAAGCTGATTCACTGTGTAGCCTGAATGAAAGTTTCTTGCTTTCTGGTGGTATGGTGTCCATGTTTGCTATGAGGAAGGTAGGATATAGTGGTCAGTTGTTCTGTCATAGATTTTCCCAGATGTAAGGGGAGCTGTTATATTAGTCCAGAAGTGATCCAGGGTAGTGGCAGATGTTTGAGTGACTCGGGTGGGCTTGGTGATTGTGGGGATTAGCATACAGGAGTGCATGCTGTTACGGAAATAGTCAACTTGAGGGTTATTTTGAAGACCCAGGTCACTATTGAAATCACCTCCTAGAATGATGTGATTTTTGTTGAGACTGTTATTTATGATAAGATTCCTTACGTTGTCTGAAAATGAAGCTATGTTGGTATTAGGAAATTTATAGATGGCACCGATAGTCAGGGAGGATTTAAGGGATTTACTGGAGAACTTGGCAAAGGTATATTCACAATAGTCGTCTCTATCACTAATGACACTATTGTAGATGAAGGTATCTTTGTAATGTATTGCTGTGCCACCTCCTTTTTTATTAGGCCTACAGTTATGAATGGCTTTAAAACCAGCTAAGTTGTAGAGTTGGGTATAGTCTTTACTTAGCCAAGTTTCTGTTAAAATGATCAATGATAATTTAGTACCTAGTGCTGTGAGTAGTGCATTTATATCATCAAAATGTTTACCAAGTGATCTAACATTTTGGTTGTAAACTGATAAGCAGGTGCTATTTAGGAGTTTGTTTTTTGCAAGATTTGCTGTGTAATACCTGCAATAATGATGATCAATGTGCTGATTTGTGTGGGTATGGGACAGAAGATTTTGATCAGGATCAATATCAGTATGCATATAGATACAATAATGTCACGATACAATAAGATAAGCAATTACAGGAACAGTTAAATACTAAATTGCTGTAAATAGAAAGTAATTATAGCAAAACACAACAATAAATGTAAGTACACAAAAAATGGAAACAATTAGAAGTAGAATAAAGATCACTAGATAGCCATGAAGGATACACAAGTTTGGTGGAGAAAACGTGACAGACGTGACATATATGTAGTATGTATATAAAAACCTGATCGGATGCGAATGGAACGTTGTGTGAAAATTTCAAAGCAATCGGTGAAGAACTTTTGGAGATTAGCGATTACGCACAAACGAACATTTCCAGTTTTATTTATATAGATTTATTTATTTATTATGCACCCCAATTCCCGGTCATTTGTGGAGGGGGGGGGAGGGTGGTAGAGGAATAGGCTACAGAGGCACTTTTTTTTTTAATTTAGCTAAGCAAGTTACAGTCTTGATATGTTAATTAAATGGTTTAATGAATTATTATGTCAACAATGGGTTAAAAAACGACCACAAGTAGTTTTTAAGTACAGTTTCCAGGTGAAGTAACTTACAAAAGCACTAAGCAAGTTTCATAATCTGATTTCCTTGACATGTAAAACCGTTTAACAGGCTGAGAAAAATACATAGTAATTCATTAAAGAAATCCAGTATGTCATATTATTACTAGATCAACATTTATCAAGCTATAGAATCTGCAACAGGGTGCTATGCGCAATGCGATAACATTTGTTTCAATGGTGTTTGTTTATAAGTTTTGTTTACGTGGTACAGATTACAGGTACTCTATGCGGTTTTTGCCCACACGGGTATAAGTCTTTGCCATAAGGCTAAGAGTTTTATTGTGCTACCCAGCAGTAATGAGGACCCCTGACTTATATATATGGGGGTCACTGAGGGGTCACTGGGGGTCGAGAAATAGCGTCTGTGACCGGCCAGGCTCCCCTCGCCGGGAGTGACCTGGGGTCCCAGGCGATGAATTTGTTCGGGAAGTTGTGTAGCAAAGCTCAATATCAAGTGAGGTGACCTTGCGGTTTTGGGGGGGGGGGGGCATAGTCAATATCGACAAAGTTCATTTTCTTATTCATTCAGATAAACTCTGGTTATTGTTCAAGTGGTATATCTTGAGATGATTTTGGGATGATTTCTTAGCGTCCCTGCGGTCCGGTACTCGACCAGGCCTCCCTTTTTTGTTTCACACCATAGGAAGCAGCCTGTAGCAGCTGTCTAACTCCCAGGTACCTATTTACTGCTTGGTAACAAGGGCATCAGGGTGAAACTGCTTATTTGTTTCTGCCTCCACCGGGGATCGAACCCAGAACCTCAGGACTACAAATCCGAAGTGCTGTCCACTCAGCTGTCAGGCCACAGCCCAGTAAACTCGCCCCAACGTTTCACAAGCGCTTTGGCCTTGGAAGATTGACTGGGCGCCAATCCTTAACCTGTGTGAGCCTGTGTTCACTCAGAAGTGAATGGGTACCTGGTTGTTAAATGATTTTGCTGGTCGTATTCCTGGGAAAATTAGGACTTGCCTGAAACGCAATGCGTGCTAGTGGCTTTACAAGAATGTAAGAACTCTTGTATATATAAATATAATAAAATAAATTTAAAATAAAAATGTTAAAAACTGTATCATTAGGTTAGGGTGAGTTCTGTTAGGTTCAACAGGCTCAAGTACAGTTATTTTGCACAGCCGTCATTTCATACAGGGGATTCTGCAATTTTTAATGCATTCTATTATTAAAACAAATCTTCATATTTTGTAACATAGGTACATGCTACACAATGCCTTACACATACTTCACATAGCTGTTTCATGTGTTAAATTATGTTTGAAAATCTCCACATAAATTGACTGATATACGAATTAACCTAGATTTACCTGAATTTGAATGTAATCATCTGTAGTGGGGATGATAAGGATAGAAATTTGGCGGAGATACAGGTCAATTTGCACGCGAAACTGTTTGCTAACAGATTTTAATACCTTGCCCAACCCATCCCGACCTACTAAACGTAGCTTAACCCATCTATCCTACTACTATATACATTTTGTTTTATTTAAAAACAGACTTTATTAAACATTTATGTGATATAAGGCCACATCATGCCTGTGGTTTGTGGGATTCCCCCATTTTCCTGAAGATTATTTCCAATTTGATGTTAGACTGCAGCATACTCTTGGTATTTAAAGCTTTGGCAGGTAACAGATTAAATGGTTTCGTTACCCTATAATTGAGAGAGTATCTACAGCTGACTGTCCTACAGTGAGGCTGTGTGTGCTTGAAAATGTTGCCATTTGTGTATGTCTTGCTGAACCTTTCCAAGTAGGCCTAGAATAGGCTGCTAGGCATTAGCAAACTGTGGTAAAAATACCCTACAGTATCAATGATGTTAGATAAAATTATACTAGTACCTCAAAATTATCAGCAAGTTTACAAATGTAATATAATAACATGCTGAAATTGCCTCTTTTGTTTCAAATTTGGTAAGAAAATTGTAAAAAAAAATTTCCAAATGTGATTAGGTTATTTGTATCCAAATAACTTATTTTACCTACATTTCCCAGAGAAGCTGCATGCAGCAGCAAGTAACATGTGGTCCACAGTTAAATCCCTTGCTGACAGACTCCGGCAGTTTGATGCTTACCCGAAGACTCTGGAAGATTTCCAAATTAAGACATTTTCAGGGGCAGCTGGTAAGTTTTGTTTAGTTCCATGTTTAATATATTTTACAGTATTATATTTTGTAATTTTTATCTCGTCCTTGGTTAAAAACATTGACTCTTGATTTCATGTACATGTGGATACAGTACAGAAGTGAAAAGATGAAGGTATGGAATTGACCATTCATTTGTGCATAACTAAATTAACAAAGGCCTTGCCAAAATTATATCTTGTTAGTACTGGCTGGGAGATTGTGAATGGAGCCCAAACTTGACTAATATCAATGATTATGAAGGAAATGATGGAAGGATTAAATGGTAGACATCACTGGCAAGAGGCTATTAAATTCTGTGCTATATTTTACTCAATATATTTTTACAGGGACTTAAGAGAATGTAAGTTTGGGTCTAAAGTATTTAGTCACTTGAAATGTACAGTACAGGTATTAAGAAATTTAGCAGTGGTAAAAGATTGATATGATACTTTTGACATAAAAGTTTTGAATTTGCCAGATCTCACTGAAACCTTTGCCTGTATGAAGAACATAGAAAATATATTTCATATAAAGAAATAAGGTGTATTTTACAGTGCAAATCTTTTCAAGATACAATAAATAATTTTGGTACTTTTAAAAAAAAAATCTTTATTTTATTAATTAACTCAATATAAAACTGTCGCTGTATTCAGAAAATATTGTTATTTATCTTTTTGTTTATCTGTTTATGATCTATTCATTGATCTCATAACAAATGATTGAACATAAGCACAGAGGAGCCTCAAGTGCCTTTCTTGCATCTCCTAACTTAATGTTAGCTACTTTCTGATAAATTACAACTAATCATTTAAAAGAAAAAAAAAAAAGACTTCCCTAGACCTGTTTTATCATATGTTTCAGAATTACACGTACAGTATTTTCATCAAATTCTGTAATAACTATATGGGTAATTTACAAGCCTAATATAAATTTCAACAGTAACCATTGTGGCTGGAATTATCATGACCTTGCTCTTCATGTCGGAGTTGTATGACTACCTAACACCGAAGATTGCAGAAGACTTATTTGTGGACACTACACGAGGAAGTAAACTAAGAATCAATTTAGATGTCATCTTCCCAAATATTCCCTGTAACAGTATGTATTTCTCTTTATTTTTGTTATTATCAATACAGTACTGTATTTTTATTATGTACAGTTTCATGATATTGATTTAGGAAGAGGAGTGCCGGTACTTGGGTATCATTAGTGCTCAGATGCCTGCAACTTAACCCTCAGTCTGGCTATTACCAATACTGCCACATGGCCTGTTCGGAAAAATGTTGTATAATGATACATTTGCATGTAAAAAGTAAGGAAAATAAAACAAATCTCTACAGTACTTCTATTCTGGTTAGTGAGGCATAAAAGGGAGCGGGAGTGGCATGGTCAGCTGGCATCCACCAACACTGTATGCAATGTTTGTTGAAACAGTTGGGCAGGAAGGAGAACTCAAGTGTCCAGTTTGGATGTTTTAATATTTGTTGCTTCACTTGTAATTATTTTCCATAAAGTGTCTGTATTGATTAACACTAATTAATGCACATATAATTGACAAAAACAGTGATTGAATACTTCTTTAACCATAAATGTACAGGGGTACCTTGGTTTAAGAGTTTAATCCGTTCCTGGAGACAGCTCGTATTCCGAAAACTCAACAGCTCGTATTCCGAAAACTCATAAACCGAAGATAATTTCCCCATAAGAAATAATGGGAAATGAATTATCCATTCCTGACTACCCAAAAACCTCACTTCAAACTAAATTTTATACCTAATTCATCGAAATCTACACTACAAAAGTATGTTCAAGTTATTACTTACCCTTGCTGATGACTGCTGTTGGCATATGGAAGGTGGTGAGGAGGGAGGAGGAGAAGAGGTGTTACTGCTTGGAAGGGGAGTCCCTCTTCCATTATAACATCAGGCAGGGAGGACTTCACTGGTGTGCACTCTCTGGCACGTTTTGCCTGCACACCACTAGGACTTGCTTTTCTTACTAAGAATCTGTCTAAAGACACTTGTTTTTCCCTACATTTTAACACTTGTCTGTAGTAAGACATCACATTGTCATTTAAAAGGTCAATGCAACAGCCTGCTACAGCTTTATCTGGGTGAGTTTTTTCAACAAAACTTTGCAGTTCTTCCCATACTTCACATATTTTCTTAATGAAGAAGGGACATCTTCTACTGCCTCTACTCAACTATTTTCTTAGGTTGAACCTTACCACTGGCTTTCTTGGGACCCCATGGCGAGATATATAATAACTTTTATGCTCAAATGGCCAAAAATCCTACAGATAACTGTAAATCCTTGTGAAAAATTCAGGTGGGATAGTCACTGGGCGCGAGGCACTGGTAAACTGAGGCGCGATCGCCATGCCACCACGCGCTAGTCAGCCTGTACGCGTATCAATGCCCTCATCTTCTGAGGCAACGCTCGTATTCCGATGTAAATTTTCCGAGCAAATGCTGCTCGTATTCCGTAAAACTCATATACAAGGACACTTGTATTCCAAGGTACCACTGTATATAGGAAAACAATGTATTATGTACACTTTCTGAGGGAGTGAGATTATGCATTCACTTTCTGAAGTTGGAGCTATCCAGACTGATATAGATATATATTAGATTTCTGGCATCAGTCAATGTGCATGGAGCTCTAGGCCTACCGGGAACCACGAGCCAGAACCTGGCCCCCCTCAGAGAGGCACAAGGAGCAATATCCTATAGAAATCCCCGTGTGATTGAAAACATTGTCTGCTATTGACCCGGTCAGGCACCCAGAAAGATAAGCGCCCCAAAACAAACCCCTGTGCTAATGAAATATTGCTACAAAGAGCCAAACGAGTGGACAGAACTCCCCAAATGAAAACAAGCAAACTGGCATGACGTCACTTTATTGTCGCTCCGCTGTCTACTCAACCCCCTTCCCCCCTCCCTGGGAAGGGGAAGGGGGAGCCTCAGATCTTCACGCTGACTACCCACCCTTCAGTTCTTGGCTGATGTGGCACTGGCAAGGTCATGGGCCTCTGGCTTCAGCAAATTGTTTCAGTTCTGTGCCTTGTTGTATGGTACTGTCTCTACGGTCGGTGTGCGAGCCAGGAGTAATTTCTTCAGTAATCAGGCTGCATGTGCCTAAGGTTTCCTTCCCTAGGTGTCCTGTAAGTACTGCTGGGGCTTGGGGTCATCTTCCAAAAGTAGCCTTGGGATCTACCTCTGCTGTGTCTTTTGCTGCTCGGTGATTGACCGCCCTTGGAGTCAGTTTAGGTTTCTGTGTTCCCCTGTTTGTCTCTGGGTAGGGGATAGCTTTTGTCACTGGTAGGGGTGCAGGGTACTGTGCTGCTAGTTATCACCTTACATAGCAGCCGGCTCTGTTCCGGCTGGATACATTGTCCTCTTTCGGGGTTTTTCTTTTTCATTTTGTCTAGCTGCCTGGTTGGGGGGGGGGCTGTCACTTGGTTGGTCATACCCTATTGTTACTTGGTGGTCTTCAGCTAGGCCCCTGCGAGTGTACATGTCCCAAGGGTTCAGCTTTAGCTGTTTGCTTGGTAGTTTTGGGCGCCGGCTAGCAGTACCCTGCCTGGGCTTCCCTTAGCAGAATACCATGACTAAGGGCCTTGGGAAACACCGTGGGGGTTCAGTAGATGCGACCCCTGGGTCCCTTCTCTCTTCATCCAAGTCGGAAGGTTGCTCGGTCCCCTTGTCTCAGGGTGACAATCACCGGTTGCCTCTCCGCCATGCTGCCAGTTGGGTCAGTGATACTTTCGACCCAGAGTCGTGCGAGTTTTGTTGCTTGTACGTACTCCAGTTCACCCAATCTACTGATGATCATATGCGGGTGTAGGCAGCTTCAGCACTGCATGCTAGGTTCCGGTTGCTGCAACGAAATAGGTTGGTTACTTCCCTGGATGCCCCGAGGCTGCCCTGCTTTGGCTATAGGGACCATGACTTGGGGCTGTTAGTTGCCTCGGCTTTGGTTCCGTCCGCACCCCCTTGTCTTTTCCATTCTGTTGTGCGTCCTGGTCCTTCCCCCTTGCTTCTGGCCCTGAAGCGTCTGAGGGTTTCGGAGTTGGGGCAAAGTTTAGTTGGTATTGAGACTCGGGCAGTCTCTGGGGAGTCCCCTTCCGGGGTGACGGCGGAGGCATTAGATCTTGGTCCCCCAGCTGTAGCTTCCTGGGTCTGACCAGTGGGCCCCCTTCGTTCCTGCTTTTACGGCGGCTCTATTACTATTTATTTGCCTGTAATACCCTAAGGGATTTTCTGCTTTCTTTCGGCTTGCAATGTTATTCACTAACTCTATTACTAGTTCCTAAATCCACATTCCCGTATTACAATATATATTGCCAGCATATATTCACTGAAGGAGTATACTGTCACTGAGGGACGTCCCCTACACTGAGTAGGCCTCGTGGCTGTGGTGTAAACAGCCTAGTGTGATGCCTCCTGCCACAACTTTACATTTCTACTGTTTCTATGTACAATTCTCTGATACTATCCACTAATTTATGTGTTGTGTTGCACGTTCCACTTCACTGTTCAACGTATCACTGCTCTCTATATTGCTCACCCAGAAAATGGCGTTTCATTACATTCAACGCTGGTTTTCTTGGGGGGGGGGGGGAGCCACTACGGCTCCGCGAAGCTAACTACCCACAGAGAAAAAGAAGAGGGACTTACCCGGGAGATGATTGCTGCTTACGCCTCAACTCAAAGTTGAAAGTAATGAAATGACATTTTCTGGGTGAGACCCGGAGGGTCCCTGCCATCCCTCCCTCCCTTCCCCTGGTCAGCAGTTTTTCGCGTGTTTTGATGTCCAGTCTCAGAACTGAAGGGTGGATGGCCGGCACGGGGGTCTGGAGCTTCCCCTCCCTTAGTTAGTTTCACGCAGCTGATGGGGCTCCTCGCATAAAACCAGCGTTGAATGTAATGAAACGCCAGTTTCTGGGTGAGCCTTGGAGGCTCCCTGACACCCTTCCTCTCTTTGGTCGGCGGCTTTCATCATTCGTTCTGGGGTGCCGGTCATGGTCATGGGACAGATGAAGGTAGTTCTTTTCCAATTTTGACGACGTAGCTCTCAATTTTCAACCAGACAGTGGTCTGTTTCAATTCGCCTACCTTTCTGGGTCCTTCCCCAGTTGATGGTAAATATGATATACTTTAAGGACAGCACATAATGGGATACCACACGTTTCACACCATGTTTGCACAAGCTTCCGTTTCTTGTCTCAACGTGTCGTTGTTTTACACACCAAGCAATCACGTTGGGCTATTGCACGCTTCACACCAGGTGGCAAATACTTAAGTTTGTGTGCTAGGAAGCCTTCAGTGTGAGCGAGGCGTGGAGTACCAGCATGCTGCAACAGTGGGTTTATGATGGGCCGCTGAATACCTGGGACATCTTTTGCAAACTTTCCTAATAACTGTATTGCAGCATCAAATACAAAGTCACGGAAAGTGGGCTTACGTCCAGTTCTCACGAGGTATATGTTGAAACAGTTCAGCATGCTCATGTCCACAAGATGGAAGAACACTTTTTTCGTCCACCTACATGTCTTCCGCACACACTCTGCAGTGCCAATCATCATGTCTGATTTATCAATCAACCGCATGTTGATATTATAGTCTAAAACACAGTCTGGCTTATATAGTGGTGCGTTTGTTTTATGGCTCACTTTCCCACTGTTCACCATTGTTCCATCATGAATTGTTGTCAACAAGTTCACCTCTCTTTTGTCTTTCCACCAAACTGACAGAATGTTATCACTTTTCCTTCTCTGACACTCACCAACTGCAATGCCGTTGTCAAACACAGGCATTTCCCTTCGTTGTGGCTTTACTGTACCAACCAATCCGGTTCTATTTTCTAGCAAGAACCGAGCTAGCAAGGGACTTGTATAGTAATTATCTGTGTATAAAATGTGTCCCTTGTTCATCCACGGAGCCATGATGGTCTTCACTACACTCCCTGAGAATCCATGTTCGTCGTTACCGGGAATGTCTACATCACTAGCCGAGTACAGAATCATGTGTAACACGTATCCTGTCTCACAATCACAAAGAACAAAAAATTTCAGGCCAAATCGGTTTCGTTTTGAGGGAATGTACTGTTTGAATGGAACACGTCCCTTGAAAAGTATGAGAGATTCATCAACCACCAGCTTCTGTGCTGGTACGTAAAAATCTCTGAATTTTCCAATAACATCGTTCATGTAGTGCCTCACTCGCCACAGTCTATCATCAGGTGTTCGGTCCTGAACACTTCCAAAATGTAGACACCTGAGGAGTATCTGAAACCTGTCTCGTGACATATATTTCCCGAATAAAGGTGTTGGTATTGTCTTGTCCTTGCTCCAATAGTCATTTATTGCATGTTTGTGACAGTGCTTCATCAACAAACAGTGCCAAAAACACATACATTTCCGCAACTGTGGTATTTTTCCAACGCTGCAGTCGTGAAAATTCTGTGATTTCCCTCTCAATCAGGTAAGCAGCATGCAGGTTCGTTTGGTGTACAATGTATTCCATGAGTGGTTCATCATAGAATGCTGTAAAATATTCCATCTCAGCCATGTCCTCACCTTGATTAGGGAAAAGGTTTGTAATCCCTACATCTTTATCGTCAAAGTGAGGAATATTAGGAATAAAATCGTCACCATCACTCCGGTAAAGTGCTCATAGGCCATTGCTCCCTACACCTCTCTAAGGGGGCCAGATTCTGGCTCTGGTTCCAAGTAAGAATTTAAAACTTTGCAACTAATGACCCCAACTAATATAGCACTATATCAGTTCGGATAGCTGCAGGGAGTCTCCGGGGCTCACCCAGAAACTGACGTTTCATTAGATTCAATACTGGTTTTATGTACCTAAATTTAATCCTCAAAACTCAAAACAGTATTTCAGGTGCAGAGTTTTGTATAATTTGTTATTTTAATAGTAGCTGCTTAGGTCTTATTTTGCATTATTACTGTTTGTTGCTGTATTTTGTATTTTGGTTGTTTGTTATTTATGTATACATTTTCAGTGTTGAGTTTGGATGCCATGGATTTGAGCGGGGAACAGCATGTAAATATTCACCACAACATATATAAAAGGAAACTTGACTTAGAGGGCCGCCCAATTCAAGATCCTGTGAGACAAGAACGTGAGTTATAATGTTTTGCTATAGTTTGTCTTCATCCGAGATAGTCTTTTTTTGTTGTACTTTACTGAAGTAGTATTTGGATATATGTTTTTCATTCACTTAGAATAATAAAATACAAGGGAAAATTTGGAAAATCAATAAACACTTGTTCATGTTAAAAAAAATATTTCACTTATCAGTGATAGCAACCAAGTGATACGCTCAGAAAAGCATTTTATCGTCACTATTATTTTTGAATTAATACTCGAGTGCATTATTATACAAATTTGTTTTCAGAAATTGGTCATGGGACAAATGAAGAATTGAATGTTGGCTCTAACAGAACAGAAACCACAACTGCAGCTCCTAAGTGTGGAAGCTGTTATGGGGCAGAGTCAGAAAAAGATCAGTAAGTGTGATTATTTTTTCTTATTAAAAGTTTAGATAAATTATTTTTTCTAAGCAGGTCCCCCTTAATTGCTTCCCCAACCAGAGCCAGGGTCCGTGTGCTTTCCCACCTTGAATACTGTTTAGTACTTATTTCTCCTTTCAAATCAGGAAAGGTTTCTGAAATAGATGGAATACAGCGAACATTTAAAGCATACATAAACACCATAAAGCACCTAAATTATTTGGATTGCCTCTAAGCTCCCAAATTGTATTGTCTAGAAAGGAGATGAGAGAGATATCACATAATATATACATGGAAGATACTGGAAGGCCACAAATTTGCAAAGCAAAATAACAACATACTGATATTATAGGAAATACAGAATAGACCCAGGGGAGAATAGATATGCCATAGGCAGAAGAGAGAACACTATGAGTATCAGAGGTCCATGGCTATTCAATATCCTCCCAACAAACCAAAATTATTGCTGGAACATGAATGGATATGTTCAAAAAACAGCTAGACAGGTTCTTGCAAAGAGTGCCAGATGAATCAGGTTGTAGTAGATATGTGGGCATGTGGTCAGCTCCAAACAACAGCCTTTTGAACCAAGTTATCACAAGTTGTTTAAATGATAGAGAAAGGAATTAAAATGTTTTGGAAAAATGCAGAGTACAAAGGTAAGTAAATCATAGATTAAGAAGTGCTTAAGATGTTTGACTTTATTCGATTGTTGCATGATGATGGTTGTAAAAGAAGCTGGCATTTTTTTCCCTGGCTAAATACAATTATTCTGCTCATTGATTCATAGGCAGTCATTCAGCGTTTGTGCATTTTGAGAAATAATACAACTTTAAAAAAACCAGCGTTGAATGTAATGAAATGCCTTTATCTGGGTGAGTCCAGACAACCCGGAGGCTCCCTGGAGCTATCCAGGTTGAATGGATATGTATAACTTTCTGGCATCAGTCAATGTGCTTGGAGTTTTTGCCTACCGGGGACCAGGAGCCTGAATCTGGCCCCCCCTCAGAGAGGTACAAGGAGCAATGGCCTATAGAGACCCCCCATGTGGTTGGGAGTATTCTATGTCTGCATTCGTTACTTTCTTGATGTATGGTTCTTGCTGGATTGTAGAGACTACACAGTAGATCACTTCAGCAGTTTTATTGAGTAAGGTAACAGTGTATAGTTATGGCCTGCCGAGGTCCTACCTACTCTGGTCTTGAGAAAATACTGGCTTGCCACCAGAATGGCTATTACCAGCTCTTTGTAGAGAATGATGTCAGAGGCCTACTCAACTGTGATTGGCTATATCCCAACCATCATACAATTTGAGTACCAAGACCGCTCGGACACGCTACCAAGTCGACATCCCTTGTCGACAAACTCTGGCTAGCTAGATAGTTACAATGATATTGAAAATGACCTCGGTGGCATTCAATAATGGGTTACATGTGAAATTGCATAATAAACATTAAAGGAAGATCAGGTGTATGGAATACTAAAACCGTTTGGCATGTGCACAAAATTAGAACATAGTATATCTTGAGGTTATCTTGAGATGATTTCGGGGCTTTTTTAGTGTCCCCGCGGCCTGGTCCTCGACCAGGCCACCACCCCCAGGAAGCAGCCAGTGACAGCTGACTAACACCCAGGTACCTATTTTACTGCTAGGTAACAGGGCATAGGGTGAAAGAAACTCTGCCCATTGTTTCCCGCCAGCGCCTGGGATCGAACCCAGGACCACAGGATCACAAGTCCAGCGTGCTGTCCGCTTGGCCGACCGGCTCCCCACATAATTATGTCCCACATAATTACATTCTACCCACTTCAAGACCCCGAACCAACACAGAAGCAAGAAGACAAAACACGCAATGCACCCATCGATCCATGTCCCATCACCTCACCCTAAAAATGAATACTGTTTAAGCATTAACAGAGTATGTGTAAAATTGTCTTTGAAAATGTAAGAAGTGTCTTGCAAAACGCTTCTAGGCGTCAAACCATAAATTAAGTGTGAAAATTAACTTTGGAGAGTCCATTTTTCAACTTCCCCTGACAGTGAAGAAAAACATAAGAAATATTGAGAAGATTCGTGTTAGAATTACTAATCTTACCCTTTCAGTTTTTTCTAGCCATTTAAACAGCATTCACATTACAGCTAACCTTAGACTGTTGGCTTCTAATTGAATTACCTGGACTTAATGTGTAATCAGTTAACTTTTTATCCATGTTTAATAATTACATTTTCAAAATCAAATATAAATGAATATAACAAGTGGCTGAACTGCCTCTAAAGCACACACACATCATGATCAATATTCCACTGGTTTAAATCCCTCCTTATCCAGGATTTCCAACTCAAAAATTCCTGAATGTTATCAATGAAACATTATTTTTACTCAAGGACAACAAAAACCTGAGAGAAAAGAAATCATTTAACTATTATACTGATAAAGTTAAACTGCACAGAGAGAAAAAGGGTACAGATGTATTTCGTAATACAAATAGTAATTTCGTAATATGTAATAGTAGGTGAAAAATCATGGTTACAATGCTTGAATCAAACAAGAGCATGAAGAGCATTTACATGTGTAGGTATCAGATATGATCAATAAAATTCAAGGTGGTGCCTAAAACAAAATTATTAACATGTGTTAATGGCATGTGCTTTGAAAAAGAATTAAAGACAATTATCTGCTTTATTAGAACAAAAGTCCTGACCCAACAACCACAAAGGAATTTTAAGGCTAGATAATGAAGATTTTTTTTTTTTTGTTATGTACAATATACAGTATTTCCAAGCTATATTAAGAATCGCCTGAAACGCTTTGCGTAATAGTGGCTTTAGGCATTGTATGCACTAGCTCTATCTATAAATCTATAAATTTTTGTAAAATCTCTTGTATGTATGTACCTTACCTGAATAAACATTTATTTATTATTTATTATTTATATTCAAGGACTGGATCAAGAAGGCTAACATCTTAGTGATAGCAGTCAGGAATCATTGGTCTCAGTGTGGTTGCTAGAACATTAATAGGACTTTTGATGACATGCATTGTAAAACACAAATGGCACAATAGATTTAACAATGGCACCTGATTTATGACACAAAATAAATTTGAAAAAAAATTCTTTATTATGCATATATATAATGGTAACAATAGGACATATGGGGTAGAAATACTGTGAGGTGAAATTAACCAAACAAAAACAGAATATCTGCAGAATGCACTTAATTATAAATTCTGTGGATATCTACACCTAGATCGTCCAGAGCACTATACAACTCTGGCTCTGACTGAAGGTCAGGAACAGATGAAACTGCATGTGACGAACTTTCAGCTTGAGAGGTAAACTCGTTCACATCTAGCCGCGGGAAGACCCTCAAGATCGGAAACTGAGCAAAGCAGCGCCCCCAACCAAGGCTGGCAAAGAACCAGAAGGAATGGCCACCAAGGAACCAGGAACCCAATCCCGGCGAGCATTGAAAGAACCAACCCGGGCGAGCAGACACCCCCTGTCCGGGAGGAACCCTCCTCCCCAGGACCCCTGAAGGACCAACAAGACCGAAAACTGAAGAGCCAGGACCCAGGCTGAGGCCAACGAGGGAAAATGAGCACCGTGAACTAAAGCACGAGATGCAAAGCGAAAAACTGCAACCCTGCAACCCGCAGGAGCAGCGCAACTAGCTCCAGCAGAAAAAAACGACACACGCGTCTCCAAGGTATACATGAGGAGAACTACTCAGGATGTGTACCGCAGGAAAACAAAAATGTACGTTCCTGAAAAGGAACAAAGAAAAGCCGTAGCCAGGACTGGGAGCCTAGCTCCTCCCATCCCAAAGAAAAACAACTGAAGGGCAGGAGTGGATGACCAGAAGTCTACAACCACCCGCAGACAGTGCAACACAGAAGCATGCAGTGAGATACAAGGAAAAAATGAAAGAGCTAGGTTCCATAATTGAACTCTGGGGCAATCCAAAATCAGGGAACTGAACATGGACAGAGGCCCACCCCAACGCCTAACACCAGTATAGCCAATAAGCACCGACCAAGATACACAGCCATGTGTAGCATAGAGGGAGGAAAAACGGAATTAGGCAAGGAAAAGACCCGAAGTACAGCCCAAGCACCGGTAGCTAGGGATAACCCTGCAAACACACACCATAACTGTCCCTATTTTCTGCTTATTACAACTTGCAATAAAGTTGTTACATCTTGGTTTAATGTTTTTATGATTTAGAACGTTGTTACAACTTGTTAGGAGGTGTTAAAACTTATTCCAACATCGTAGCAACGTTGTAGTTTTGTCGTGTGTCAGGCGGGAAGAGAGTTCCATGAATATGACGAATGACAAGGATCCAAGTAGCAGCCGGTAATGCAATGTACACGACCAACCACATTGTGTGTTGTGGTAGGTCGCACATACACAGAGGGACTCCATGGATATAAGGGTGCAGCCAGGCACCAAAGATAGGCAAGGAAGCAGTGTCCAGAGATCAGAGACTGAGTCAAGGAATAAGCATACAGAAAGCATGGACTGAGGGAATGAAGGAGGGAGTATCCAGATATAGAGAAAAGACCCAGGTGCCGAAAAATTAAACAAAAGGAACCGAAATTCGGGGCTGCGCCCCACAGTACAACGAAGAACAAGATACACGGACAAAGTAAAGTCACAGTAAGACGCATGCAAAGTTGCCAAGCAAAACACACACAACAACAACACCTAATACCTCACCAAAAAGCGAGAATCAGCACCTGGCTGACAGAGTTGCCAGACAGTACAATCTCACCTGCAGAACAAAGACACGACTGTGTCACAACACAGCTAAGCCATGCAATGTATCAGGAGCACCACAAGTGGAGAACATCCAGAGGTGCGTGCCTGGTAGGAGAAGACACGCCCCAACGGCAGTACTTGCTGGGCACCTAGGGAAGAGAACCCTCGGGGCATGCAGCCAGAGTACCGTGGAATATTTCTCCTGGCTCTCATACCACCTGAAGAGACAGTCCACTCCACAAGGCACAGAACTGAAACAAAAACTGGAGCCAGAGGCACAAGACTGCACCAGACTCCCATCAGCTAAGAATTGCCAGTTGGATCGCCAGCGCGGGGGTCTGGGGCTTCCCCTTCCCCCTCCCAGGGAGGGAGGGGGGGGTTGTGCAGACAGGGGCGCTGTGACATGATGACGCCATGCTAGTTTGCTAATTTTGTTTGGGGAGTCTGTCCACTCATTTGGTTTTCGGTAGCAATATCTTCACCAGAATATTGGGTTTGTTTTGGGGCGCCTACCTTTCTGGGGTGCCTATCCCGGTTGATGACAGACATAGAATGCTCCCAACCACAGGGGAGGGTGTAATAACCCTTTCTCCTTTACACCCTTTAACCAGTAACGAATTGAGGGGTTCCCTAGGTGCCATAAACTCAGAGTCAGCCAGGGTCAGGGACTTCTGGCGCCAAGTTCGGGCATGTGAGCGTGGGAACGGGTGAGTACTCTGTCAAGGGTAATTGACCCTTATGGTCAAGCCTGGTTCTGATTGGTTGCAGCCATGGAGGCCTAGGATTCTTGGCCCTTGTTGGCTTAGGACTCAAGGGGCGGAGTCCCCCAGGGTAGGGTCTGACCATTCCATTGGCCAAGCTTCCAGAGCACCCAGTTGTGTTTAAATCCATTGGCTATAAGCCTTAAGAGGCAGGGCTTATTGGGCCTAGAAACTAGGTGGGTGGCGTTTGTTGTCCACTGGTAGAGATTAAGAAAATATTAAAATTAGTGTGTCTTGGAGATTCAACTGGGGTACAGATCTGATCTGTAGGGCAAGCCATTCAACATCGTTGGCGGATTGCAGCATTTAAGGTAAAGTGTGCTGGAGTATTATGTCCATCATTTGTCATACTATTGCCTCGTAGGAGATTTTATTAGAGTAGGATATAATTTCAATTTTGATTTAAATATTTGATTTCAATTAACGTGTTTAAATAATAAATAAAGTGTATAATTTAAGTTAATTTGTGTTTAGTTATCTGTTCCTTTTGATTAAAGCTGTGTTATTCATTCTTATTTGTGTTTTCATTTGCTGTGCTAGAAATTCCCCTGTGTTCTCCTCCATATTATGGATATTAGAGTTGTCCTTGAATCCTCAATCAGTAAAGTAAAGAATACATTTTTTACTTCCAGGCATTTTACCCAGATTCCTATACCCCTTGAGTTCATGATTATTGACTTCTGCCCTTCCTGGGAGGTCACTAAAAGACACATTCAGATTCTGAACAGGGAGGTGGTGGCAGTGTTTAATGAGTTTTTAATTACTAGTTTTAAATTAATAATCCCTTAATAAGGGGAGCCGGTTGGCCGAGCAGACAGCACACTAGACTTGTGATCCTGTGGTCCCGGGTTCGATCCCAGGCGCTGGCGAGAAACAATGGGCAAAGTTTCTTTCACCCTATGCCCCTGTTACCTAGCAGTAAAATAGGTACCTGGGCGTTAGTCAGCTGTCACGGGCTGCTTCCTGGGGGTGGAGGCCTGGTCGAGGACCGGGCCGCGGGGACACTAAAGCTCCGAAATCATCTCAAGATAACCTCAAGATAACCTTCTCTTGTTGTCCCCCCTCATTTAATATTTTCAGAGTTAACTAATTAGCCTGTAGTTCATTGGGGGTCACATTGATCTGCAAGCAGTATTAACCTGGGGTGTTGAGAGTGAGTAAAGGGTATAAAAAGAAGATAGAGTTATTACAAGGGTCTCTAATGGCCATTGCTCCTCGTGCCTCTCTAAGGGGGCCAGGTTCTGGCTCGTGGTCCCTGGTAGGCAAGAACTCCAAGCACATTGATGCCAGAAAGTTATACAGTGCATATCCATTCAGTCTGAATAGCTCCGGGGAGCCGACGGGCCTACCCCCAGAAAAGTTGCCATCTATATTTTCCTGAAAATACTGAGCCTTTATTGGAGATACAGTATGTCTACTAGAATATACTCTACAACATGTACAGTACTGTATGTTGAGCCCAGTCATTCTGTAACATTCACCATGAACTGTGCCCAAATTATTCTAGGATAGTGACAGTTTTCATAACTGTGTTAATATTGTATGTGCAATATAAAAACATTGCTCACAATTGCAGATGTTGTAACACATGTGAGGATGTCAAAGATGCCTACCGTACGAAAGGTTGGGCCTTACCACCCCTTAGAAGCATTGATCAATGCGTTAGAGAGGGCAAGCTGGTGGAATCAACTGATCTCCCTGAAGAAGGATGTCAAATATATGGCTACTTGGAAGTAAACAGGGTAAGGAAATCTTTTGTTTTGCAAGACGTTTACCACTCTTTTCTGTGGGGAGTCCCATTGACTCCCTGAAGCTTTCTGAATAAGTGTCACACTACTTGGGGTCATCAGTCGCAGAGTTCTTGTATGTCTACCGGGGACTGTGAGCCAGAACCCCGCCCCCTCACAGAGGCGCAAGGAGCAATGACTCATGAACGCTTTACATTTAAAATTTATCATCTTGTCATCGACCAGAGAAGTGCCCAGAAAGGTAGGCAAATCAAAACAAACTACTACCTGGTTGAAAATGCAACCTACGTTCTCAAAATATACAAAGAACTCCCTCATAAAGAAAACAACCAAAACTTCGTCCAACTAAACCCCCATTCGCACAGTTACCTGTTTTTAGTATTTTGCTTTGTACAGGCTGTTCCTTCACAATAATGGGCATTGGCCAGGAGTGTAGAGTACTAGAGCTGCATGCACCTAGGGTCACCTTCCCTAATTAGGGAAGGTGACTCCTGTGTTGTCTGGTTGTGTTCTTTGCCGTTACCTGCGTACCGTGTCTGCGGGTGCGCTGTGGTTGATCCGGTTCCCCTCGTTCCCTGTTATCAGGGCTCGGGTCTCCCAAGTCGTCCGCAGAGTTTTTCATTCTTTCAGCCTGCGGTCTGTCTTTGCGCCCGTGCTGTTCAGATGTTTGCAGCTTTTGCTGCTGTTGGCGACGTCTAGGGCTCATTTCGGGCGCAGGGATTTGAGGGTCGCACAGGTTTTTGGCCGCCCATTCTTATGCGCGTCTGCTCGTGCGCGTTCATGTTGCCTTGGGTCGCAGATTGTGACCTGTTGTCTTGGCTTTGCGTTGCAGAGTTTGTGGCGGCCGCCTCCTGGGTTGGCCCTTTTTCTTTTCCTTCTTTTTGGGTATGAAGCTCCAGAGAGCCGTAGGGGCTCCCCACAGAAAACCAGCGTTGAATGTAATGAAACGCCATTTTCTGGGTGAGCCCCGGAGGCTCCCTGGCAACCCTCCCTCCCACCGGTCGGCGTTTTTTTCGCGTTGGTTGAAGCTTAGCTTCCGAACTGAAGCTTGGCAGCCGGCGCAATAGGTCCGGGGCTCCCCCCTCCCCCTCTCGGGGCGGAGAGGGCTGCGCGGACGATCGGCGCGGCAGTAAAGTGTGATGTTTGCTTGTTTCCTTGTGATTGTAGGGAGTTTCTACCTCTGTTTGGGTTTTTGTTTTAGCTTTTTTACCATGTGGGGTTTGTTTTGTTATGCCTACCTTTCTGGGTGCCTAACCCCGGTCGATGGCAGATAAGGAAAACCCCAACCACAAGGGGGTTTTCCAGGGCCATTGCTCCCTGAAACCTCTCTGAAGGGGCCAGGTTCTGGCGCTGGTCCCTGGTAGGTCTGAACTCCTTAGCTAATGTCCCGGTCTAATATAACATACATTAGCCCGATAAGCTCCAGGGAGCCTCCGGGGCTCGCCCAGAAAATGGCGTTTCATTACATTCATTCGCTGGTTTTTTACCTTCTCACATGCCATCTTATCTGCCTACTTAACTATTTACTTGCTTACTTAGCAACTTATTATTGACTTATCTACTTTCCTACCTACCTATTTGCTATACTTATCTCATATCTTACCTACTTGCATCTTTATTGATCTATCTTTTTGAATACTGTAATCGCTTAGCACGCTTTACTACATTTTGTGATTTTTTTCAGGTTGGTGGCAATTTCCATCTTGCTCCCGGTAAATCCTTCCAGCACAATCACTTGCACAGTAAGTTTTGATTTACAAAGTTATAGAATTTTTTTGGTAAATACCTAAAATATAATAAGAATTGTCTATTTATGTATTATTTATTGTGCTAATTCTTATGATGAATTCGATGTTTGTATCAGGAAAATAACTGATAGTAACTTCGCTTCATGAATTGATGCACTGAAATATTCTTAAAGCAAACTTTAATTGCTTAAAAAGAAACTTAAAAAAAAATTGCTCCTCCTCAATGTTATCTTGAACTGGTGTTGAGGCGCTTGTGTGCCACTCTCGGGTAGGTGTGAATGCCTTTTGCTTCCCTCTCCCGCCTGCTGTGGCAGTGGGCATGTGAAATACATCCACGTGTCTTAGTCACCTATGGATTTATTATGAATGGAAACCTGTATATTTTTTATTCAGTGATGAATTGGTTTGTAAGGAAGGGGGAGGGGAGAATAATGAGGAATAGAAATCAGAAAATATGATGAAGATGAAGTATTAGTGAAATGAAAGGAGTTCATGTGGTGGCCTGTCCACATTGGTTTGGTAGTGTTGTATTAGTGTGATGTAAATGATGTGTTGTGGGGATTTGTTAGTATGTCAGCTGGTCTGGCTGGTGAAGGCCATCAAGTGTTGGCCTGCTGTAGATATTATGGTTTCTGGGGGGAGCCCCGTCGGCTCCTAAAGCTATCCGAACTGATATGTGCTATATTAGTTTGGTATCATCAGTCACAGGAGTTCTTATGCCTACCGGGAACCACAGCCAGCACCTGATCCCCTCAGAGAGGCGCAGGGAGCAGTGGTGTATGAGCACTTTACATTTATAAAATGTCATATTCTGCCATCGACCAGCATGAGCACCCAGAAAGATAGGCGAACCAAAACAAACAACTAGCCGGTAAAATTGGGACCTACAGTCAGAAAGATTCAAGAAAATCCTGCTGAAGTAAAATAAAATAATAGAAAACTAGCCACCCTCCACGCAACTAGTACTCCCGCTCGTTCTCGTAACCCTTTCCCTTCGGAAAAAGGGGAGGGGGAGTCGGCCGTCTGCCACCTCACTTCTCATCCTGATATGCTAGCAGTCGCTCAGTCACCTCTGGGCTCAAGTTCCTGTTCTGGATTTTGCCGTGTGGCTGTACCAGCTCTGTGTGTGTGTGTGTGGTGTGGTGGCCAGGTGTTTTTGTACTTGGAGCTGCATGTACCTAGGTACCTTTCCATAGGTGCTCTGTAAGTACTACTACCCTTGCATGTCAGGGTACCCTTCCTTGGATGTTCAGGATTCACTCTTCGTTTGAAGGCCTCATCACTTGACGTTGTCTTGGCCCTTGGGGTAAGTCAGGGATCTGGGACTTCCCATCTTGCCCTGGGTAGGTGAGTGTTATTGTCTGGGAGTGTTATATGCACTGGTTCTGGCGTAGTCTGCTTCTACCTATGTGGTGGCAGACGTTTCTTTACGGCTGCTAGTTTTCTTAGGGTGTGGTTTCATGGGCTTGTTCTTTTTTCATTTTCGGGTACTTTCCCTCTGTGTACAGAGGAGGACTACTTAGCTGCTTATTAGGGTAGCATAGGTTGTGGTGGCTTTCTGCCTTCGTTGTCCCCGAGCTTTCACCACTGCTACTGGTAGTAAGTTTGCCTGCTTACAAGCAGGGGGTCTATCAGCATAGCTGGCCCCAATGCCTGGGCTTTCTGTAGGGCTAATGTACCCTGTGGGCCCTGGAAAACCCCAGTGGGCTCAGTTGGTAACATGAATCCATCCAAGTCCACTCATACCTTGTGCAAAGTTGATGGTTGTTCGTCGCCCCTGCCTCAGGATGACAATCACCCCTTCTGCCTCCACCATGCTGCCTGTTGGGTCCGTGACATATGTGACCTGGAGTCTTGTACTCACCTACTTGTGCTTGCGGAGGTTGAGCTATGGCTCTTTGGTCCCGCCTCTCAACTGTCAATCAACTGGTGTACAGATCCTGGAGCCTATTGGGCTCTATCAAATCTACATTTGAAACTTTGTATGGAGTCTGCCTCCACCACATCACTGCCTAATGCAGTCCATCTGTGTTAACTACTCTGATACTGAAAAAATTCTTTCTAATGTCTCTGTGGCTGATTTGGATACTAAGTTTCCACCTGTGTCCCCTTGTCCGTGTTCCACCCATGCTAAATAGTTTGTCTTCGTCCACCCTGCCAATTCCCCTGAGAATTTTATAGGTGGTTATTATGTGTCTTCCCTAACTCTTCTGTCTTCCAGGGACATGAGGTTTAGCTCTCATAGCCTTTCCTCGTAGCTCATACCTCTCAGTTCTGGGACTAGTCTGATGGCATACCTCTGAATCTTCTCTAACTTTGTCTTGCATTTAACCCTTAACATGCTAGGGAAAAGGGTGGGAATTGGGAGTGTAGTAGGAAGGCCTCTGAGCGCTCACTCACGGCTAACGCGTGGCCCGTCTTCAACTCGTCGGCGGTTGGAGCGTATATGCTAATGTTCCTCTAGAGAATTTTATACGAACCCATTGAGACCAAAATGAAAGACCTAGGACAAAAATTGAGGTGACCAGAGTGAAAATAGTGAAAACATTTTATCCCGTTTGCGCGCTCCCGGGTAACTCGTTCGCACTTTCTCTGTTTGCTGCGGGTAATTAGCCGGGCTTTTGGAGTTTATATGCATTTAGTGCTGTAGAGAATTTTATTGCGAACACAATGATACCAAATTTATTCCCCGTAGAGGAGAATTGAGGTGAATTTGAAAAAAAAATTAACGCGCGCTTCCGTGACACGCTGGGGCCCATATCGCCCTGTCGAGGGGTGGCGCGCGGGGTGAGCAAAAAAATTCCTGCTAATCTGTTAATTTGTGTTCACTGATCATGGGAAAAATAATTAAAAAATTGTAAGTGGCATATATTGCCCACTATAGGGCGGGGAAGTCTGGCAAAAAAACAGGCGCTGACTCAGCGTGCGTCCCAGGCGGTCTGTTGATCACCAGCTGTCAGGCCAGAGTTGCCACAAAGAGATAATTACCTAATTATTTCAATGTCTCTGATTGATTTTTCAGAGTTTTTTTGCTGTAATATTATTCAATAGTGTGTAGTTTGATATATTTATATAATAATATGAGTGAATCATCGCTGTACTCAAAAATATGGTGTGCATATTGTTGATTCAATTATGTTCATCAATCAGTGAACAAATACTTTGTCGGTTATTACACTATATACACAGGTTATATAAGTATCTGCATGTTTTGTTCAGCATAATGAACCACTAAGTTGCTATTATGAGTCAAAAAGTAACGAGGAGTGACCGCCGTGTACCAGCCAGCCACTCACGCCCTCCCTCAAGTCACCTGACTCACCCACATTCTCCTCCCACAATACTATTTTTGCTTTTATTCACTATATACAGACGCTATATATAAGTATCTACATTCGTGTTCACCATAACGAACCACTAAGTTGGTATGCTGAGTGGCAGTGGCAGTGGCAGGCAGTGGCAGCTCGCCACTGGCTGCCACTCCCTCCCTCCCTCACCTCACCTGACTTGCCACCATTCTCCACCAACCATACTGTTTTTGCTTTTATATACAGACGTTATATATAAGTATTTACATGTTTTGTTCACAATAACTGTACATCTAAGCTTGTATGGTGAGTAAAGGCACAAAGACGTAGCTACTCACACAGCTGATGGCTGCCGCCCTCAAGGCCAGACGCACTAATATTTCTCCTCCAACAATACTGTTTGTGGTGTTATTACGCTATATACACACATTATATATAAATATCTACCTGTTTTATTCACCATATTTGTACAAGTAAACTGGTATGGTGCCCAAAGACCATCATGGTCACCAGTAAACAACACCGTCGTCTGCACGGTGGCGTCATGCAGACGACGCCACCGCCCTCACCAAAATGGCGGCTCCAAACCTTCTCTTCCTGTTTATGCCCTCTATACACACGTTATATATAAGTATCTACATTTGTGTTCACCATAGCGAACCACTAAGCTGGTATGGTGAGTGCAGTCAATAAAAGGTGGCCACACACAGTCAGAAGACAACGCCACCACCCTCCCTCCCACAGCATTACTCCTCCCTCCATGGAGCACAGCGCTAAATATCACCACAATCCTGCTATTATAAGAACCCTGGCTGATAATAGCTGTGAGCTGCTGCGTGCTGTGAGCTCATGCTGCGTGCATCAGGCTTGGTAGCTCACTCAATACTGAGGCCCCTAACACCAGGGAATTTGGCCCACGATTTTTTTTTTTTTTAATGGTGTCTGTTTACAAGAGCCCTGATGGTGTGGTGAACCCCATGTATCTGCGGGCCGTTTAAATCTTGCGTAGTACTCCAAAGCATCATATGATGCGATGTGCAATTTACTGCTAGTCGGTCAAAGCATCATATGATGCGATGCGCAATTTAAGGGTTAAGTGCCTGGCCCTGGTCGTTCTTGTGTGACTTTTGGGTCGCAGATTGCAGCCAGTTGTCTCGACTTCAAGTTGATGTGCACGTGGCAGTTGCCTCCCGGCCTCAGAACTAGAGGTGTGAGTAGCCAGCGCAGTGGGGGGGGGGTCCGAGGCTTCCTCCTCCCAAGGAGGGGAGGGCTGAGTTGACAAGTAATTACCTAAGTGTAATTACCAAAGTGTAGTTACAGGATGAGAGCTACGCTCGTGGTGTCTCGTCGTCGCCAGTGGAAGTGTATGCCAGGCGCATACAAGTGGCACCAGGGAGGTGTATGATGTTTGCTTGTTTCTTTAGAATTGGGAGCAGAGTTCTGCCTCTCTGCTTGGTCTTCGGTTACAAATTTTTTACCATGTGGGGGCTACTACTACATCACGAAGAGGGCCAGCACTTCGTTCGTTACTAATTACTTGATGACTGAGAAAATCCACAGGAGCCATGATGAGGATTCGAACCTATGCACTGGGTGTTCCCAGATGCATACTTTAAACGAAAATATGATTTCTCTGTGTCCTTGATGACTGTTATGATGGCACCAAATACCGATCTCACTACTCTTGAAAGGCTGTGGTGTTGAATACACCATTGACTCTGCTGCATGCCTTTGCACAATTCCACATTACATGACGTGTGTGGACCACTTATGGTGATGAGTAGGCATTTGTTGATGATCTCCAGCTGCATCGTAACCTGTATCAGTCTTTTGACTAAAAATTTCCCTCCTAATGCGTTTTGGCACACTTGTTGAGGTCCACTCGAAAACAGGCTTACCACCTAGCGGCACTCCTGCTCATTGGTAAAATTCCAATTAGAGCCATCAAAAATGTACCAATGATTATTAGCACTGGTACTGTTGTTCTCCTGCCCCATCTTTCTGTTCATTGCAGGGATACTTAAGGTAGACACATTCTTCTGGCTCTCGCATGGTAACCGTACTAGCCCCCCCCCCCTTCGTACTGTGAAAATACTTTTGACAGTTGTACCTTCCTCGCCTCTATTGTATGTCCGTCTCCAGGAACCGATGCTTAGCACTCATCCTGATCACCTCCGTGGTTATACTCATTTTAACATCACTAATCTTTTCATTGGTTAGCTCTAGCACCTCTGTTCTTTTAATCCAAAAGGATGTTTCTTTTCTTCCCCTTTTCTGATTCTAAATGGCCAGCTTCTGTATGATATTGTCATAGCTTTAATTTCATTTCAGTTCATGATGTGCAGCAATACCGAACATCAGATTTTGACCTGTCCCATCGCATCCGACACCTGAGTTTTGGTGTTAATATACCTGGAAAAACAAATCCTATTGATGGTAGTGAATTTAAAACAGAGAAGGGACCAAAAACAATTAACTATTACCTGAAAATTGTCCCAACTACATATGAAAAAGTTGATGGCTCAACACTTTCTACTAATCAGTTTTCAGTCACTCAACATCAGAAGGTAAACATTTTTTTACCTTTCAGTATTGTTACAGAAGAAAATGCATATCAGTACTTTTTCAGGTAATGTTGTTTTCTCTTTGACTTATTTATACTTTGTTCAGTATATTAATACTGAGAGTGAAGACAATATATTTTATCAACCTTGTAATGGAATTGATCAGCATTTTTTTAATTTCTACTGTATTCTTTGAGATATTATATTTACGTTAAATATTTTAAGTACTATACTATATATTATTGTTTTACATTTGGTATTTCAAATGCTTCTTCAGAACATCCAGCTGGGGATGGGTGAAACAGGACTTCCCGGGGTCTTCTTCACGTATGAACTCTCACCCATGATGGTCAAGTATACGGAGAAGCACAAGTAAGTCACGACTAACCCAGTTCCATGTTATTGGGGAGCATGAGTTTTTCATCCCAGTTACCAGCAAAGGTAGAGGGTGTTATAAGATGTGTTTTCTTCACTTCTCCATACATACATTCATTCATTTATTCATACCCACACACTCCACTCCACACACTAAGGAAAAACTAAGCCCAACTAAGTTAGAAATGTTTGTTGTCAGTATACCTATACTGTTAAAATTATTTGTGATGTAAAATTTTGAAAGAAATATTTGAAAATATGAAAAAATCACTCTGACTGCTAGACTAAATGGGCTCTGCTCACCAGGCAAAGCAGTGCAGTTCTGTCTATACTGCATAGTATATTTATATCTAAAAATATTTTTTTTTTTTTACAGATCCTTGGGCCACTTCCTTACTGGAGTTTGTGCTGTCATTGGCGGGGTTTTCACTGTGGCAGGGATTCTCGATTCAATCATATATTATTCCCCACGCGCACTCCAACGAAAAATTGAAATAGGAAAATCGTCATAAAACAAAATATATCTAATTCTAGGTTTTTATGTATGTAGCTCACTATTTTTATATTTTTTGACTGTTACAATGTTTTGTTATAAGGTATTGTTTGTATTTAATTATAGTATAGTATTTTAGTTCAATTCATATTTTAACAAAATCCTGAGTGTTGAAATTTAACACATTTCATGTCCACTTGTAAAGTTTGCTTATAAGTATATGCTTTTATATCTGTAACACACATTATTTGCTTGTAGTTTAAGATAGCTTAAAAGAGCTATCATAGCTTAAAGCTGGATATGTTCTTTGTAATTTATACAAAAAATAACCCTTGAGTTTCCGTTATCATCAGTGCTGTAGGGAAGGAGAGTAAGGATATTCAAGACCGTCTGAGTAACACCCGTTCATACGTTTGTTCTTATTAGCATTACAGAAAACTAATTCCATTAAACATTCACAAATTATTCAAGGTATTTCTTGAGAGTTGTTCCAAATGAAGCATCAGCCATCCATTTTCTCTGCAATTTATTGTGTTTTCTTCACATTAACTCCAATTTTCTTCAATGCTGAGTATACTAATAGTCTAGAAGATCAACTTGCTCACTCTTACTACTGCTTAATCCTTCAACTGCATAATACAACCAGGGATGGTCTCATTAATTATCCAAAAGCTGTACAAAATCTGGGATGTTTAAACCCCCCCCGATCTGCACTGTGAATAGTGCTTTAAGGCACTTGACTGGTGGTGCACATAGCACCTTTTGGTGCTTGTGGATATATCTTAAGATTCAAAACTTGTGCACTGTAAGTTGGGTAGAAGATGGGGGCCTCCAGCGAGTGTCTGCCATTATGAGAAAAATTCCCAGCATGCCCCATGGCTGCTGGTAGGCTGAGTTTCAAACAAGCCACCATGGCTGATGCACGTGCATCTATCTCCCAGTCTTCCATGGGTCGCATGGTTGTAAAAACCATTCTCTGAGGATGATATACAGTGGGGCCTCGATTTACGATGGTAATCCGTTCCCAGAGACATATCGTAATTGGAAATATCGTAAGTCGAAGCAATTTTTACCATAAGAAATAAAGGGAATTGGATCAATCCGTTCCACACACCCAAAAATATTAACTTAAAAATACATTTTATACTGAATATAATTTTTTCTCTAACTGCAATACAGTACATACGTTTATCTTACCTTTATGGAGGACTCTTGATGCATATGGAAGATGGTGAGGAGGGGAGGAAGAGAGGTGTTACTGTTTCGAAGGGGAGTCCCCTTTCATTATAACATCCGGCAGTGATGACTTCTCTGGGGTACTCTCTCTCCTATGTTTTGCCTGCATACCATTAGAAGCTGGTTCTGGCTCACTGTTTGTTTTTCTCACTAAGAACCTTTCCATAGAGATTTGTTTTTCCATACGTTTTAATTTTTTTCTATAGTGAGGCATCACAATGTAATTAACCACCGTGCTGCGCTGAGTTTATTGTGAAATTCCCCCGATGCGCATGAAATAAAGTGTTCCCCAAAATTATTTTTTCTTCATAAAATGATAAATTCCCTTCCCTGAACATGTCTATGTAAAAATAAATACCAAATTCCACTTACTTTGGCTGTGGGGACGTGGACAAGGTGCGCTGTTACGTCATCAGGGCCTGATCGCCCGTGCGTGAATTGCCCAGACACGGTCGCGTGAGCCATTCAAGCACCGAGTGTTGCCACAAATATATTTTCAATTATTTGTTTTATGTATTTCCAATGCGGTTTTATTAGTTTTTTTCTGTGGGGAGCCTCTACGGCTCCCTGGAGCTTATCGGGCTAATGTATGTTATATTAGACCGGGACATTAGCTAAGGAGTTCAGACCTACCAGGGACCAGCGCCAGAACCTGGCCCCTTCAGAGAGGTTTCAGGGAGCAATGGCCCTGGAAAACCCCATATGGTTGGGGGGTTTTCCTTATCTGCCATCGACCGGGGTTAGGCACCCAGAAAGGTAGGCGTAACAAAACAAACCCCACATGGTAAGAAACTACAACAAAAACCGAACAGAGAGGTAAAAACTCCCTACAATCCCAAGTAAACTAGCAAACAAGCAAACATCACACTTTACTGCCGCGCCGATCGTCCGCGCAGCCCTCCCCGCCCCGGGAGGAGGAGGGGGGAGCCCCGGACCTACCGCGCCGGCTGCCAAGCTCCAGTTCGTTCGCTAATGTCAACCGGGATTGACGCTTCTCTGGCCTCAGTTTCCTAGGCGGTGTTTGTCTTGTGTGGCATTCACTGCCGTGTGTTGTGTTGTGCGGTGACCAGGAGTACTTCATCAGTGCCGGGGCTGCATGTGCTTAGTGGCTGACTTCCCTAAGCGCCCTGTGAGTACTGCCCTTGCGTAACAGGGTTATCTTCCCTGGGGCGTTCGGGAACCATTCCCGTAGAGGTTCTTGCTGCTCGGCATTTGCCTCGCCCTTGGGGCCAGCTGGGGCTTGGGGCCCTTGTTTGGCCCTGGGTAGGGATTGGTATTGTGCTGGTTAGGGCGTCAAGGTGTTGCGCAGCCTGCCACCTAAGCGGCGGCCGGTTTCTGTTGCCTCTGGAGACGGTGTACTTTTGCGGGGTTTTTCTTTTGTTTTTAATTTTTCATGCCTGGTGTGGGTCTGCCTAAGGTGGTTATAGTTCCACTGGTAGTGTTTGGCGGCCCTCTGCTAGGCCCCCGTGATTGTACACGTCTCAGGGGTTTTCAGTGCTATAATCTACCCTCTTGTTATGTTTGGGTTTCTTAACCGGTTAGCAACACCTTGCCCGGGCTTCCCGTAGTTGTTACCCTACGGGCCCTGGAAACCCCTGTCTGGGCTCGGGGGACCATTGCATGGGTCTTCCGGGTTCCAACCCGTCTTGTACGGGATCGTTGGTTGCTGTTCCCTTGTCTCCGGGTGACAGTCGCCATTTTTACCTCCGTCATGCTGCCTGTTGGGTCACTGACACCTTGACCCGGAGTCTTGCGAGAGATTCTCTTCTTGTTCTCCAGTACTCTCCTGTTGTTATTACTGTTCAGAGTACAGGCGGCATCCGTGTTGCAAGCTTGGTTAGGTTGCTGCAACATGCTAGGTTGGTTTCCCACTCGAATGCCCCGTGGCCGCCCCGTTTGGTTCGGTGCTGTTCGCCCCTTTCCCTCCATGTTCCCGGCTCCGGACCGTCTGCGGGTTTCGGGGTCGGGGCGGGGTTTAGTTGCGGCAGAGACTCGGGCGGTTTTCGGGGGCTGCCCCGTTCGGGTTGGGGACGGAGGTTTGAGCCTGTGCCTCCTGCCAAGGCTTCTGGGTCTTACCAGCGGCCCTTTCTTGTTGCCTTTCCCATAGACTCTTGCTTTTCTTTAAGGGCGGAGGGCTTGGAGGACGGCTCTGCCCCGGGGCCTCTGTTGTTGGTTCCCGGGGTTGTGGGGGATGCCTGCTAGCAGTTCTGGGGCGGTTTTGCACCTGCCGGGGTTTTTCTGCTGTTGGGCGACGTTTTTCGCCCATCCAGTCTGCTAGCTTCCCACATTTGCTGGCGTGTTTTTGTGTATTTAGCGTTAGTCACAGCCCCTGCTGGCGGCCATTTTCGTCTGCCGGTTTCACGGCGTGGCCACCAGGGCGGCGTTGCGGTTTGTTTACATGCGTCTGGGTGACTACTCTGTCCCAGGTCCGGCTTCACTTGGAGCTGGGTGCTTGGATGGTGTCCCTGGACCTCAGGGATGCTTATTGGCACATCCCGATTCATCCGGGATTCAGGGACTGGCTCGGGTTTTGTTGTGGGATGTCAAGGATACTGCTTTTGTTGCCTTCCATATGGCTTGAATCTGGCACCTCCGTGTTTACACGCCTCACCCGGGTCGTGATAGCTCAGTTGCGTCTCACAGGGGTTCAGGTGTTGGCCTACCTCGACGACAGGCTGGGCTGAGATCCCAGCCAGTCCACTCCCAGTCAGTCTGTCTCTTTCAGATGATTGATCTGGTCCATTACGTGGCTGGTTTGATCTTTTCCTCGAGTCTTCGCATCTGGTATTTTTGACTCTAGTCTATCACCATCTGTATGATGATCAGGTGACTTTGTTGATGGTGTCCCACCTGCGGGCTTTGTCTCAGCGGCAGTCTGAAGTTTCCCAGTGGTCCTTCCATTTCTTTTTGTCTCTTCGTGGGTATACTTCACTTTCTGTTCTGGTTGTCTTGTCCTTCCTTTCGAGGTTGTTTCAGGACTGTGATCTTATACCGAATACTGTCACCTCATATCATGCGGCGCTGGCGGAGCCACTCCAGCTTTCTTTTAGTATTGATGTTACTTCTGTGCCATTTCGCAAGCTGTCTCGTGCGTTGTTTCACCTCCGGCCTGCTCATGCGCCGCCTGAGCCGTCCCTGGTCCTTGGATCGGGTGCTCTTTTATCTCGTTTCTCCTCGGTCTGTTGTGGCCCCTTCGGTTCTGGATTGTTTCTCCAAGGCTCTTTACTTGTTGGCATTGGCCTCTGAGGGTCAGGTCAGAGAGCTTCATGCTCTCCTCCGGCGCAGGGGTTTCTGCTCTTTTGGTCCTGGTGATAGGTTGTTTGGTTGCAGCTGTCTCCTTCTTTTCTGGTGAAGAATGAGGCTGCTGCTTTCCGAAGAGGTCCTTGGGTTGTTGATGTTGATTGGTTAGGCCAGGCGTGCATCATGTGTTGTGTCCAGTGTGGCTCTCCACCTTTATTTGCGCACCACGGCTTCTGTGACCGGGGACGCGCTTTGGATTGATCCTGTTTCCATTCTTCCCTGTTCCAGGGTCCGAGTCTGAAAACTTCCTTTGATGAAGTTTCTTTATTCATAATTCTTTTCAATTTAGTACTGATTTAAAAAGTTCTGAACATAGATTTTACAATAATGAAATTGAGTATACATTGTATATCTTGAACTTATTATGTAGTGTTTTGTAGCAAATCTAAAGTTGATATGTTTAAATTAATATGTTTAAAATTTTATAATTTGTAAACATCTTTAAAAATAAACAAGAGATGAAAAAAATTTCAAGCTATTTATTCTACCATATAGAATAATTAGTGAGAAATATATGAACATTTCATATTGCAGATTCAGTACAGTTCAGCTCACTTTTGTTTGATTATGTTGAATCCATAATTGTTGCCCACCAGACATTAGTCATACTCTACCTATATTAAATCGTCATCATTCATATGTTCACAGAGCTGGTTGGGGCCATCCTTGGGCCAGATGTACCAAACGCCCTTATCTGTGGAATATCCATCTCTGTCAGCTGTGATGGGGGGAACAACCTAGTTCATGGAACCACTTCTTGCCGTGTGGTGTGGGGGGAATACTATACTGTACTCATTAGCACACATCTTTGCTGCCTTTTATTTTGGATTTACTTCATAAGCTGTTCTCTTCACACCTGTTGGAACCTTTGTTTCACTGACTGGTACTGTGGTATAATTATTATTGTATATATTGGTAATATTAAAATTAGTGTTTCTGCAGTATTAATGTGAGAAGTAATCATGTCATACTTGGATGACATTAACCAAATAATTGTATATGTCTTATGTGAAAGTTACAAGGTTGTTTATTTTTAAGTAGTATATTAAGTTAATTCTTATTTAATACATCTTTTGAAAAGTAGTTAATGATTTCATCCCATTTTTATTGACAATTTACTTATTAGCTTTTATAAAAGTATACGCACAAAACATCCATTAGTGAGTATAAATAGTCCACATTGTAGCAAGTGCAGTATTGTACATACTTTGAGACATACAATATAAGGAAGTAAACAAAAAATCAATATTTAACACAAAAATTCCAACTCCATTTAGTGAGGAAACCTATTGCACTCTATAGCCATACTAGCCTTAGTGCTTTCTCTTAATAAATACGTATGTGGTGAGAATATTGAGACCTCAGTACACATGGAGAAGCTGACAGCTTGCCAAGAGGAGAAAATAACTGCACTTCTTCGGACAGAAAAGGGAATGCATGTGACATGCTTGATAGCGTTTAAATGTATGTTCAGTATTTTTTTTTAATTATTTACTTCAAGACATTATTTTAACTACTCCAAGGAATTAGTAATATAACTATTTATTCCTTGAGAAATGTAAATATTTGCTGTCAATTCTGGAAGATAGCCAGGTGGAGCGTGTTAGCAACCTACTTTCAATTACAAACCCTAAATTTAAGTATTAATACAATTATTGCAATATAAATTTGTTTTTGTTTTCTGGGCGGAAACCCCTTGGTAGCTCCCTGAAGTTATCTCACTGAGATGGCTCCCCACTACTGGATCACATCAGTCACAGGAGTCCTGTTTAGCCTACCAGAGACCAGGGTCAGAACTTGGGCCCCACCTCAGAGGCATAAGAAGTAGGGGACTATTGTCACCCCCTCACTGAGAAGCATCAGGAAGTTAACGAAGGTTTACAGACAACTGCAAGGTTCATTGGAAACAAATGTTGAAATAGACAAATAGCTCTGCAAGTGATTCATTCCAGACAATTGTTTCACTCGAAACTACATAGTACGAACCCCATCAGTACTGATGGCCGCCAAAAGGGGGCCAGGAGCTCCTAGCCAATAGCCAGCTCTAAGGTCAGTCCTGTCACTGATGTTGACTAAACTTTCATCTATTATTGTTTAGTGTTGGCAGTGCCACTATTGCTTGTGTTCAGTGCCGATACAGCTTTGGCACCGTTTCAGAAGTTGTCATTCACCTCCGGGCAGCTCATGCTGCTGCTCCTGAGCTACTGGGGTTTCTTTCCTCTTTCTTCCTCACAGTTCTTGATGGTTCCTCCTGTCTAGCATGTTTTTCTTAAGGGTGTGTTTTTGTGGGCTCTTGCCTCTGGCTGCAGGGTTGTTGAACATCATGCTCTCCTCTGGAGGCAGGGATTCTGTTCTTTCAGCCTTGGTGGGTGTTTATTTATTTGCACCTTTCTCTTTTCTGATGAATAAATTGGCAAGTTTCTGGAGGGATCCTTTGATGATTGATGGCTTAACTGGTCCAGCTAGGAGTGCATCATATGTTGTGTCTGTTGGTGTTCTTTGCTGCTACTTACGTGCCACCAGTTCTCTCAGTGAATGCTTTGTTGGTTGATCCTGTTTCCTTGGTCCCTGTTATGGCCGTTTTGAATCAGCTCGTGCAAGTGGCTGAGTTGACCCTAAAATTCCCAGAAAACAGACTGCACAAGACTACAGTACTGGAAAGGGAATTAAAATTCTGCTACAATTATACCAGTATATTCATACAGGCTGCGCATACACACATACATACAAATAAGATGATCATAAAATTATAACCAGTCCAGTGTTTAGAACCAAAGTAAAGTCAACACACTAAAATAGATAATGGCACAATAACTCTCCACTAGAGATCACCCTAAACTTTGAAACATCTAAGAATACTATCCTATAACCCCAAGACTATATATATATATAAACTAATTAATGATCTGAACAGAGCTCAAGGGTGGGTACTCATCTCCAACTACCGGCACCAGTTAACTGACGAAAATCCCGCTCTTGAGCTTACAGGCCGCCTACAACAGTACCAACACTTTGGAGGCAATAGGCCTGGTAACTCAAAGACTAACCATATCTCTTTAATCCCTTAACATTTACTAGAAACTCCTAAGTACAGTGATGCTTGTAATATACCTGCTTAATTCTACAGGTGAGGAATTATGTCTACATGACATATGCATATTTTTAATACATGTGGCTACTATCAAATTTGTTGGCAGCACTGACCGGCCAAGCTAGGCACCATACCATAGTTAATTACAATATCTGGTTACAATACTCCTAGACAAAACTAAGGGATGAACATACGGTCACAAATGATAAGTACTAACATAGGCAATTACACAAGGTAAGGTGTTAAGTGAATACTAGCATTAGTATTAGTATAACATTCGTTATTTTACCTGAATAAACATTTTGAATTTGAATTTTGAATTTTGAATTACACAGGACATTTCTGTAAATGACGGACACGAGGAATTGGCAACAGAAAACCACATGGCGAACATGTGATCTGACTGACTCAGTCCGCCCAACATAACATGGTAATCACTATTATGAATAATCATAGTACCAGTAAGTAACCTATATTATCTTATAAACATTAATGCACACACTTAATATATGATACCTTAAAGGTCCAAATTCCACATGTGGCATGCAAACATGACAGATCTCTCAAGAATCAAGTCACCACTGTAGGGGTTGGTATCCCTGCCAGCCACATCCGCTTACCAGCATCCCTAGTACCCTCAACAACTAGCTCTAACGCACACATGCACTCACTCCTATATTCATACAATATAGCACTACATCACCCACACTACAATTACATAACATAACCCAAGGACATCAATAAATGTGGGGATCCTAAGTAACTTTATTGTATCTATATAGTTAATTAATGGAGATAATTTAGGTCTATTAATTCATTACAGTGGTACCTTCGTTTACGAATTTAATCCCTTCCCAGAGACGGCTCGTAACCCAAAAATTCGTAATCCAAACAAATTTTTCCATAAGAAATAATGTAAATTGAATTAATTCGTTCCACATTCCCAAAAATATTAACTTCAAAATACCTTTCATGCATAATAAACACAAATATTTTGTACTATAGTATGTACAAGTTCATAGCTTACCTTTATTGATGACTCTTGTTGGTGTATGTAAGACGGTGAGGAGGGGAGGAGGAGGGGGAGAGGTGTTAGTGTTTGGAAGTGGAGTCCCCTTCCATTATAACATCAGGCAGTGATACTTCTCTGGGGTACACTATCTCCTACGATTTGCCTGCATACCGCTAGGACCTGGCTGTGGCTGACTGCTTGTTTGTTTCACTAAGAACCTTTCCATAGAGACTTGTTTTTCCCCTATGGTCATCCTCACATGTGTTTTCATAGGTTGAACCTTACCACTGACTTCCTTGGGACTCCATGGCATCTTATCTTGAGGTTATCTTGAGATGATTTCGGGGCTTAGTGTCCCTGCGGCTCGGTCCTCGACCAGGCCTCCTTTTTGTTACACACCCCCAGGAAGCAGCCGTAGCAGCTGTCTAACTACCAGGTACCTATTTACTGTTAGGTGAACAGGAACATCAGGTTGAAAGAAACTGCCCATTTTGCTTCTGCCTCCACCAGGGATCGAACCCGAAATCTCAGGACTACGAATCTGAAGCGCTGTTCGCTCAGCTGTCAGGCCCCTTCCGCTCAGCTGTCAGGCCCCCTAGAATAGGCATGGTATATAATAATTACTTTTATGTTTAGAGACCAAAAAAAAAAAAAAACAGAAAATAATGAAATTCTTTACACAGAATTAAAGCTCGATCGTCATTACACGAGAGGCACTGTTAAACTGAGGTGCAGTCGCCGTTTCACCAGAATCCACGAGCTCGGTCAACCCATACATGTACAGTATCAACAAACTCGCAACTCGAGACAAAGCTCATAAACCGAATCAAATTTTACGAAGAAATTGAGCTCGTAACCCAAAATTTTTTTAAATAAGGGCATTCGTAAGCCGAGGTTCCACTGTATTAGAAAAAGTTATGACTCGGTTATTTATTCAATTAAACAATTGGGTTATAACAGTCCCCTGTTCCAAAGCTAGTACAGTATTTCTAAGGCCGATATTCAGGCTTAGTGGTTTTGGAGATCCAACAGGGTCTTGGCGGCTCAATATTTGGTCAGTGTTCCTGGACACAGTCAGTCTTGTGTTGCACTGAGCAGGGTTTTCTGGCCCACTATTTCTTCTTTGACGCTAGTACCTGTTGTCACTCCTCTAACCTGGTAAGTCCCTTTTTGTTTTCTGTGGTTAGTTAGCTTCAGGGAGCCACAAAGGGGCTCTCCCAGAAACCAAGCATTGAATGTAATGGAACATCTTTTTCTGGTAGAGACCCAGTGATTCCTCAATTCCTGCCCTTCCCTCCAGGTTCGTTGGTTGATTGTTCATCATCTCCTGAACTAGCTGGTCAAGGGATCTGACTGCAAGGTGGTGTTGATCAGTACTAATGAGTCTTCTAGCTAGTTTGAGTGAATCTGTTGTTCTGTGTGGATAATTTGCAGAATCATTTGACTGTTTTAAGGCTTCATTTTCTGTGAACCCTCCACTTGTCTTGATAGTTTCGCTGACTTTCTAGATGATTTCCCGGTGGAGTGGTAAATTGGCACTTGCTCCATGTGCCTTTGTGAGGGGGACCAGGTTCTGTCAATGGTTTCCAATAGGCCAGACAGAACTTCTATAATTAGTGTGACCTCTTAGTCTGGAGTAGTCTCAGCAGGAAGGCTTCAAGGAGCCACCGGGGCTGTAACAAAAATGACTTTTCATTACATTAAATACTGTGTTTTAATTTGGCATTTTTATAGTTCCATAGGTCATATAAATTTGAGTTTTAATATGTTACAAATGTTCAGTCCTGATTGGTTAGATTGACTAGAATTCTGTTGTATAGACATTGGTCAGGATCTCACTACTGGTGCTCATAAATATTCCTTAGCTTAAACAGATATGATGCAGAATGCCTGTGATGGATGGTATTCAAAGAGCAGATAGTAAGAGTGAAAACAAGAAACCATAGTTAATAATGCAGATATGGAAGTGTAAAAGTGCTAACTATATAGATAAAATTATAGGTGTTTCACTTGTAATGGGATTTTGGTGTTTCAATGGACTACTTTATTGTAGAAAGTGAAGAATATACAAGCTTTGGTAGTTTACCTGTCACTTTGGTTCATAATTCTTGAATAATGCTTGTATGATGTATATTTTGTATACATGTAATTAATATTTGTTAATAGTTTGAAATCTCACAAAATGTTGGTTTACTTTTGTATGAAAGTCTCAGAAGAGACACATGTTGTTTATTAAAGAAGAGATGATTTGTTGAGCAGAATTATTTATTTTCTGGGCCATTTACAGGGGGTAATAATATTGCCATTGAATGACTTACAAATGGAGACTTACGGGCTCACCATAGCCCGTGCTACTTGGAACGTTTTGTTCCAGGCAGCGAATCCTAAACAACAACAACAACAAATGGAGATATGTACATGCCAAAGAAATTTTTCATCCATTCGTCACAAGTTTAAACGTGATAATTTGTACATGAATCATAATTATGCAAGTTTAGTATAGGTAGATACAGTACACTTAGTATTATATTTCAAGAGAATATAAAATTATAAAAAAGATAAAAGCATAGGGTGCTTTCTTGTTTGTGTAATTCACACATTTTGTCAAGTTGTACCATACCATACAAAAATTGATATGGTCACTACTATACAAAAATTCCATTTTTGAGGGAAATTTCAAATTATTAAACAATATTAAAAGGAAAGTGTAGCACAGAGATCCCTTAGTAACAGATTTACATTCCATGTATTTAGTATAAAGGATATTTATACTGAACATTATATATGCAAGATAAATTATATTTTATATATAATAATACAAAACTGGAAAAGTAATAAAAGGTAATTTTCATTAGATCAGTAATTTGCAATAATTTACTTTAAAAGTGAAAAGATGTTAGGAAAAACTTTCCAAAAATACGGCAGTAAACATTAGTTGCTGAGTGATAATCTTGCCTGTATGTATAAGAGCATCACTTATTATAAGAATAAGAATACTATATCCTACAGGATCCTTTAGTAATTCATAGTTTAACGAAGAGCATATAAGAATGCATCATACAATTTAATAGTTTATATAAATGTTCTTTTGTGAAAACCATCATGCTGGTTAAGGCTGAGAACTACTTCAACTGATCTTCAAATGTATCAGTCTAATTCTGAATATATTTTATATTGTGTCCTTAATGCTTAATATGGTTTATTATATGAGGATTTTATTAATCAAAAACTTTTATATAATTATCTTAACCACTGCACTGAGCAGAGCGCCTTAAGGCGCCCGATCAGGGGTGTGCAGAACGCCATATAGCATTTTTAGGTATTGGGAGTAATTCAGAACTCCTGCTGCTTCACGGGGCTCACATTCTGTATCTCGAGACTCCAGTAAACAGACACCATCTTGAAAAAAATTTATCAGCACACATACTGGCTTTGAGAGCCTTAGTACTAAGAGAGCGACCAACGCTGGCGCAGGCAGGATCAGCTCTCGGCACCGCTGTGCAGCTAGGGACCACAGCACCACATAATAATGATGAATAAATTAGGTAACTGTAATTATTTTGCGTTGAGTGTCATAGATGATCCTGACTGTGATAAAGCCTATGTAAAACATTCAGATATCAGTGAATACAATGCTAGTTATGATAGCCACAGCATGAGGTAAAGACATAGCACCCAGCCATTGTTTCCCTGAATCTATGCATTATGAAACAATCTCATGTTCCTTCACAATATAATCCTGTTGAAATGGATTCATATTCAGGATTATGTGACAGGAATGTTGTAATAATAGAAGTTTTGTAGTTGATCAAAGGTGATGTCTGGTTTATATTTGTTTATTTGTGGTATCACCTAAGTTACCATAGTCATTATAATCTAATTGACAGGTAGGCTGATCAGTTAAATACGATATTATTACAAGTCTTTGTTCACATATAATGTTAGTTTTCACATATTTTATTTTCAAATCTTGTTTTTCAGTTTTTAAATTGCTTTAAAATTGTAAAATTTATTTTAAAATTTATTTTTAATTTCCTAATATATTTTATATTAAATAATTATATCTTTTAAAATAATGTGTAGTTATTACACATTTTTATAGCTCAAAGCTGTAGGTCACTTGTTTGAGAGTTGCTGTATATTATTCTTGTAGGTGCCTTGGGTTAGTGAAGTGTGCTGTTTTAATTTTCATGTTAATGTAATTTTTTCACCTTAGACAAAGTTTAATTAGCCTTAGATATGCTAACCAAAGTAAAGGAGTGTGCGTGTTCTGCAGATAGAGTTGCGTGTGTTCAGAAATGTGTTGTGTATTTTCAGTGAATTCTTCTCATTTGAATCGGAAGACTACAAGTTGTTGATGTGCATCACAGTTTTACAACTCACAAACTTCTAGTAACTTCAGCCTTTACCTTTAATATTTTAGCATTTTTAATGTTTCCTCTAAATTGAAGCTTTTCTACTTGTACTCACTTTTTTGTTGTTGTCATATATCTGAGAATTTACACATGCTTTATTAGCATGATAACCAAGCTATACTGCAGAAGTGAATTCTTTGACTCCTATTACTAGAGCCTAAATAAATTTAAGTGTTTGTAAATATTATAGGTACACCATTTACCAAGGAAATGGATAATATTTAGAGTGTGTGTGTTACTATCATTGTAGTTGCAGAAGGAGAGCTATGCTCATGGTGTCCCACTTTGTAAAATTTATTGTATGCAATCTTTAAACTACTGTACCTGTATTTTTGCCACATACATCCTTTTTCTAAAGTTTGTTTTATCCCTCAACTACAGCATTATTTCAAGTGATGATCATGTCTTCACGTTTTCTTTTATCTTGCAAATTAGATACCTAAAGTAAATTTAATCTCTGTAGGTCAATTGTTTGAGTCACTGAATCCACTTTGTTACATGCCTTTGAAATTTTTAAAATTTACATGTTTCTTTTAATGTGGGCATCACACCGCTCCTGCACACTCTAATTTCAACTTCATGTAAGCAGTAAAAT